TGGTGGCCCCTAGTTCTTGCGCCCTCCCTAACCCATGCCTTTTTCTTTCCTTACTTGACGTGAGAGAGGGAGAAAGAGAGACATGGCTGACCCGTGACTCATAGTTGGATACCCCGGAGGAGCCATTCTCCCCGTCTTCGACGCCATCTACAACTCAAAACACTTTGACTTCATCCTGCCTAAGCACGAGCAGGGTGCCGGCCACATGGCCGAGGGTTACGCCCGCGCCTCGGGCAAGTGCGGTGTCGTCCTCGTCACCTCCGGCCCCGGCGCGACCAACGTCATCACCCCGATGCAGGACGCCCTCTCCGACGGTACCCCCATGGTTGTCTTCTGCGGTCAGGTCGTCACCTCTGCCATCGGCAGCGACGCCTTCCAGGAGGCCGACGTCACCGGTATCTCTCGCGCTTGCACCAAGTGGAACGTCATGGTGAAGAACATCGCCGAGCTTCCCCGCCGCATCAACGAGGCTTTCGAGATCGCCACCAGCGGCCGCCCCGGTCCCGTCCTCGTCGACCTCCCCAAGGACGTCACTGCCGGTGTCCTGAGACGCGCCATTCCCACCGAGACCGACCTCCCCTCTCTGCCCAGCGCCGCCTCGAGAGCCGCCATGGCTTTGCTCCAGAAGCAGCTCGAGCAGTCCATCAAGCGCGTCGCCGACCTCGTCAACATCGCCAAGAAGCCCATCATCTACGCCGGCCAGGGTATCTCCCAGTCCGACGGTGGCCCCGAGCTCCTCAAGGAGCTTGCTGAGAAGATGTCCATCCCCGTCACCACCACCCTGCACGGCTTGGGCTCCTTCGACGAGCTCGACGAAAAGTCTCTTCACATGCTCGGCATGCACGGCTCCGCCTACGCCAACATGGCCATCCAGCAGGCCGATCTCATCATCGCCCTCGGCGCCCGCTTCGATGACCGTGTCACCCTCAACGTCGCCAAGTTTGCCCCCGGCGCCAAGGCTGCCGCTGCTGAGGGCCGTGGTGGCATCGTCCATTTCGAGATCATGCCCAAGAACATCAACAAGGTCGTCCAGGCCACCGAGGCCGTCGAGGGCGACCTCTCGGCCAATCTCCGCGTCCTCATGCCCTTCCTGGAGCCCAAGTCGATGGACGACCGCAAGGATTGGTTCGACAAGATTAGGGAGTGGAAGGCCAAGTGGCCCATGTCCGACTACGAGAAGGCTGAGCGCTCCGGCATGATCAAGCCCCAGACTCTTATTGAGGAGCTCAGCAATCTGACCGCCGACCGCAAGGATACAACCATCATCTCCACCGGTGTCGGCCAGCACCAGATGTGGACTGCCCAGCACTTCCGCTGGAGACACCCCAGAACCATGATCACCTCTGGCGGCCTGGGTACCATGGGATACGGTCTGCCCGCCGCCATCGGCGCCAAGGTCGCTAAGCCTGACGCTCTTGTCATCGACATCGACGGCGACGCCTCCTTCAACATGACCCTCACCGAGCTTTCCACCGCCGCTCAGTTCAACATCGGCGTCAAGGTCATTGTTCTGAACAACGAGGAGCAGGGCATGGTCACGCAATGGCAGAACCTCTTCTACGAGGACCGCTACGCCCACACCCACCAGAAGAACCCCGACTTCATGAAGCTGGCCGATGCCATGGGTGTCCAGCACCGCAGAGTGATCAAGCCCGATGAGGTTGTTGACGCTCTCAAGTGGCTCATTAACACCGACGGCCCTGCCCTTCTCGAGGTCGTCACCGACAAGAAGGTGCCCGTCCTGCCCATGGTGCCGTCCGGATCAGCCCTCCACGAGTTCCTGACATGGGATGGAGGTTAGTATTGCCGTGAATTGCCCCCCTAAACAGATTATAAGCTGACCCCCCTCCCCCCTCCCCAACAGAAAAGGACAAGAAGCGCCGAGAGCTGATGCGCGAGAGAACGTGTGGTCTCCACGGCTAAACCGACCACGCTCATCTCTTTCTCGTTAATCTCATCTTTTTTTCGAACTCGGAGGCGTCCATACATCTTGTTCTCTCTCATCTTATACCACTAGCTTTGCTGGGTCTCGCAGGCCACAAACGAGATCCAGCTTCGACAAAAATCTTGTTTTTTTTTTTTTTTTTTGCATTGGGACCAGGGTTTGAACGGGGCGACGGACGGGTTTCATCCTGATGATCGCGGGTCCTCCGGGGCAAAAAAACAAAAAACAACAAGATCCTCAAAAAGTGCTTTCGATCTCTTCCAGCATTTTCCGCATTCCAAAGTTAGCCCGGGGGCCTAATTGGGTATTGAAAAAAAATCAACCTATCAGGGAGTTGTTGGGTTGCCTCGGCTTGTCAAGAGAATGTACATATATAAACCGCACGAGTTGAATGTTCCAAAAGTTTTGTAAGACCATGCCATGTCGAGTTCCGCCGAAGTGATACGACCATGGCGCTGTGCTTGTCGTGCCTGGACCCGGGTCTTTGATGCCCTTTACCCGCTTCTGCGCCCAGGTTGAACTGAGAAAGACCTTTTGGACCGGCGATTGATACATGCTCAAGGGGTGGGTAGGTACGCCTTCTTTGGCCTCGTAGGGTGCTCTCTCATCTTTTCATCCTAGAGTGTTTTGGCTCATCTCATTACGCCCACGGGCATGGCCCACCAAAGACTCGGCTGCCCGTCATGCCACGCCGCCTGTTGTGTTGCTGTCTCAGACGTCGCCGCCGTCCTGGTAGACCTTGCTTCGCCGCGACCTTTGAGGGCATCATGGAGGGCATCGTGGAAACGCATACCAGGGTGAGGCTGGGCCTTGCTGGGCATGGGGGGGTATTGAGAGACGTTGGTCAAAGACAAGAACCGAGCCGACTTTTTTAATTTAGTCTATTTTGATCACTTTTGTTTTTATGATTATCTCACCGGGGCAGGGGTGCAGCCACGCCCAGAAGGGGAGGGAGGTCAAGCGACTCCATGGCCCTCTTGTCACCATCCCTCCCCTTTTGGAACACGACAAAGCGACTCCACGAGCTTTCAGCACCGCCTCGAGCGGTGGACACCGACGAGCAACCAACGCCAGATGTTCTGCCCCTTTCCTTCCCGTACGTTCCAGGATGCGCGGGTGGGGTGGGGTGAGTGGTCCCCTCCTCCGCTCCTCCGCCAAGACGTCCAGGTTGAGAACTCAATGCCACAGGTCTGCTTGGGCGGGGGGCATTGGACACGTAAGAGGGCTTCGCGAGGTTGGTTCATATTGGCGATCCGGACGACCCGGTTCTATATGTTTCTACAAAGTACACGCGTGATAAGAAGACCGTATGAGCTTTGGGCAGGGGGGAAAAAAAAAGAAGAAAAGAAAGAAAAAGCTTTAGCCAGTCCCGCGACGTTGGGACTTCTTGTCACATCGGACGGGCGGAGGCGAAGAGCTTGGGGCTCGTTGCATAGGGCAGTTCAAACAGGCCCGAATTCAATCCGCGCCGCAGCTGATCGTTTTGGGGGTTCTTGGCGTGGTGCCGTGTGCGGCTTGTGGGTAGAATAGATGCAGACACGAGGGGGGTTTCACTTCTTCTGATTTCACCAATTCACGAGTTGCACAGACCGAAGTCGATGATGGCGGGGGGGGGACGGACACGATGGATGGCAATCCACCAACGCCTCCTCTGTTTTTTTTTTGGCTGAAGATTCTAGCGCGCCTCTTTCTTCGAGAAATGTTCATCCGTATTGCTGATTCGCTCGTCAAAACCAACGCGGTTATGCCGGACTTGAGGGGGGGGCTTTTCGTTCTCTTCAACTCAGCATTGGTCAACGGTGTACCGTCCATACCCCCAAGAGAGTCCGGAGTTTACCGCATTGGGAAAAGATGCGGCCGGAGAGGAAATCGTTGCCGTTGGGGGACATCTGAAGATCCAACACTCACACACACACACACACACGTCCGAAGCGGAAAGCCAAAAAGGTTCACCGGGGCATGTCGGCAGACGCCGAGGACGTCGCTAAAGAATAAACGGCGTGGCGCTAGGAGGACAACCGGAGGAGACTTGCTGGTAGCGTAGAATGGCATTTACGGAAACGAACTGGCTGGAGAACCCATGACATCACGCTGGGCCTGGATAGGCAGAGGACGGGATTCTGACGTCTTGTCCATTCGGGCGGAGTTTCCGAGGAATTTGGAGAGATGACCCCACCGCTCACACACCACAAGGTCGACCTTAATCTGACTTCCTCCCCTCCCACCGCGTTCCATTGGTCCTCCAATTCGTCCGGGAGAGGAACGACTGAGGTCATTCCGAGGTTTTGAGTGCCTTGGATCTTGGCAGGGCCTTGAAACAAAGTCGTTTGTGCGCCGGCGCCATCTCCTGGCGTCCCAAGTTGACTTCTTTTTCCAGTTCCGAAAGGGAGCAAAGAAAAGGAGTCGCGCATGACGCGCTGATTGGTCTCTATCACGCACACACACCCTCTTGGACAGCCTCCGGATTAGCCTCGCATGGATTGGGGCAACGGATCTCACGCCGTGAGCCCCACCCATCAAGAGATGGAGAACCAAAGGGAGGGGAGGGAATGGTGTGGCCGATCTTGGGGCCAATGTTTGCCATGGCTGGCTACCCTTGGCTCTTCCGCCCTGTTTTGTGGGCGCCAACGCGACGACGAAGAACGTTGGCCCAGCCCATCCTAAGAGCCCGTTTCAAGGCCGAGAAGTCGGATCCTATCTACTGTCACAAGCCAAGCCTGCTTTTAGTGGGTGGGAGGTTATGACGGGGATGGCTGGACGACGTGTCACCCCCCCTCCGCGTTTGGCGGTGTGTCGCCACATTGGACGTTGTCGCGTAGCTTGCCCTTCTGGTCAACCAAGTTGTTCCCTCTCTGCTTGCTCATCTCGTGAGTTCGGTTCATACCTCCAACAATGGGGTCGCGTACTTCTGACGGCACATGGCCTCCTTGGCAGGCTGTCTTTATTAGATGAGAGGGGGGTCCCCGCTTCTCTGGTCCGGGAGGATTGGGCGAGTTTCTCTCATACGCAAGTTATCGCAATTCGACATTCGGCATATTCTGGCTCGTACATGACGATGAAAGATCGGAACTGGAGCCCCGTGGGAGGTCGCCGGAGGGGACTGAGGTCGTTCACCGCCCGGCTGACTCTTCGGATCCTCGCCGTTGCGTCCATCATCGTCATGTACCACGTCCTCGAGCTGCACTTTCGATATCGAGAGGACATGCGCCTCAAGTACCTGCCGACCGTGTTCGGCAACCTGTCGGAGCACGATGAAGCGGTCCTCACCAGCACGGAGTGGCAACCCAACGCGGACATGACGAACACGGAGCGCCGCGCCTTGCTCGACAACAGGCGGCACTGGAAGAGGCTCGGAAAGGGCCACGAAGGGGAGACGTTCACCTTCAACAACACCGTCATCAAGGTCTACGATGAGGAGTCGAGCCCGTTCCGCAACTGCATGATGGACACGGGCGGACCGCCGAGAAGGTGGCCGACAGAGATACCGGCCAGTCTGGTGATGGGAGGACACGAGGGCAGCTCACCACCGCCCGGCGACGGTCCGAACAAAGAAATGTTCGTCCCCGTCAAGGACTACTTTCTAGCCGCCGCCGCCGCAGACCCGCTCCTGCCACCAAAGTGGCACCTCGTCACGCCGTTCCTCAAGTCGGGCACCCTCAAGAACCTGGCCAAGAAGCTGCGCGCCTCCGGAGCCGCCGGCATCGGCCCGACCTCGCACCGCGAGCTCGACCGCGCGTTCCGGCCGTCCTTCGAGTCCCTCCTCGCGGCCCTCGCCGACCTGCACGCGGCCCAAAACCTCTGCCACGACGACGTCAAGCTCGACAACGTCTTTGTCGGCTCCGACAGCGACCTGGGCCGGTGGAAGCTCGGCGACCTCGGCAACGCCCGCGAGCCCGACCATCCGTACCACGCCACGGCGCTCTGGACGGCCGACACTCCCCAGCTGCGCGACTGCCGCGCCAACGACGCGCTCCGCCTCACGCGGGTGTACCTCCAGTTCCTCCGCCGCGCGGGCAGCGACCCGGGCGCCTTCGACGAGGCGCTGTTCCGGGGCGTCGAGGCGTTCAGCAGGCTGTACTGGGCCGTCGCCCGCGCCGCGCCCGCGGCGGTCCCGGCCACGGCGTCGCAGATCGCGCTGCTGTCGCGCGCCTACCCACCGCCGCCGCCGACGGGGCGGGATGGGGAGGAGCCGTCGTCGTCGTTGTCGTCATCGTGGATAACCAAGCAGCAGACGCCGGCCGACGTCGGGGGGTCCCGCGGCTGGGCCCCGGCCGCCGCCGAGGCCGTCTTCGGGTGGAGGTGGTCGCTGGCGAGCGCGGTCGAGAGGGAGCTACGGGTCGGTGCCAAGGAGAAAGCGGGCAAGTTTTGGGGGGCGACGTGGCTCCTGGGGATCCCCGTGGGCGCGTGCCAAGCTGCTTGAGCAAAGACGTGTGCGATCTGGGAGCTTTGGAGCTCGAAAGGGGGGGGGGGGAGGGATCGTTTGAGCTGTCGGGAGTGGGGCGGCGTTTTTTTTTGGCGATGGAGCTTCTTTGAATGACACGGCAATACCCTTTGATTGAACATGACATTAGTGTCACAATCAACTTTGTGTTCTTTTTGTGCATGAGAGACTCGAGGGGTCGGCCCAACAGCCTCGGACTTCGTGATCCAGCAAGGAAAAGCTGGCAGTTTAGACATCCACACCATCGTTGCGAGAGATCCATCCTTTGATTATTGCTACTTCAAAGGCGTGAGCTGTAACAACCTGGAGCGTAATGGCTGCAGCTATAGAATGATGGTGACGGGCAAGCGAACTCAAAGACATCGTCCCAACACATGAGTCAAGTCGAAAAGTAACATGCTCCGCCAAGCATGCTGTCAGTGCCGTACAAGTCTGGCTAGACGTGCCTGATTGGGCTGATGATCGCCCAAAAGGCCCCAGGATCATTCCAGCTATATTTTGGCCCTTATATCACACGGAAGTGCCAGCCGGATCAACAACCGCTCTACAAAGATCGCAGCACGGTAGTATACGACGATCACTCCTTACTCTGCAACGTAATCGTCCTTCTTCTCCTGCGTTCCTCTCGGCTCTCAGCCGCAGTTCCATAACCCGCGACAACAACATCCAGAACTTGCTGCCACTATTTGCCTTGGAAGACGCGTCCACCTGAATTAATTGGTTTTCGATGCCAACAACAATCCAGCAGTGCGTTGCAAGGCGGCAATAACGGATATGCGCTGTTGCTGCCTGCGATTGTGTCACGAAGCTGGCACAGCTCCGTGTGGCTGGTACTGGTGGTGAACACCACAGACGTGGATCACCAAAGAAATAGACCCACATAGAAAAGGGTATTTCTACCCGAAAATCTTCTTGTATGTAGACCTAGAAAAGGGCGACTACTTCTCTCTAAGAAAAACAGACGCTGCGCTTCATCACTGATTATTAATGCGCGATGGGATACGCCTGAAGAGGCGCTGGCAGTGGGCTTGCAGCAAGCACTTTGTGGCAGGATTTTCACGCTTGAATAATATAGATGGGTACGAGCGGATTGTTGATCTAGGGTTCTGGAGAGAAAAAGAAAGAAAAAAAGAAAAAAAGGGTTGGCGAAATAATTTACAATGGCTTCCGCAGTCTGGCACTGGGGGAGTAGTTGATCCTGACGGAGGTGAATTTCGGTACACATGATGAAACTCTACGGGATCAATAACCTCACTTGATGGTGCGGGGCTGTGCTATAGCCTATACCTAGGTATCTAGGGTGGGGACGGCTACGGGTCGAATTCCAAACAGTTGGGACTAATGTTGCACTTTACCGTACCTATAGCAAGGCATTTCGTCCAAACTTCGAAGCCCCTTGATGAAGACCCATTAAGCTTTGCCAATCTCAGATCATGAAACTTAGCGTCGGTTCAAGTTGCCCAAGTGATCAGGGTGACACCTGGGTGGATTCGACATGGGACTGTATCAATGATCTGCGAGTTATACCAGAGACATACAGCTTGCTCGTCTTGGCGTACTGCAGGAGCTTTTTTTTTTTTTTTTTTTAATTGCTTCTCCTAAAACTTCACACATAAGCATGGCTGTGTATAAACCAGTCAATAATTTGATGCTGTGATGACTGATAACTAAGTCTGTAGAAACTTGAGTAGTTGACTATGGCTTAGGCTTGGACTCCAGCATTGCAGGTGATTCCCTCTAGCGCAGCATTTAAAGATGTGAGATTTACGGGTTTTCCGTTCAAGGGACCCCCTGTTTCAACCGACGTAAGGAATCCTCAGGTTCGGGTGCGGGAGGGAACTCCGTACAAATCCACGGGGGAAAAAAAAAAGGGTTACCGCCATGCCTAAAACAGAGGCTGACCACCTTGGGGTTCTACTTTCAGCCTGTCAGAGACGCCCACCTGGATGATTTTGACGCGGGCTGTCATCTGTTGCCGCCAAGTTGTAACGACATTCGTGGTTTCATCTCATCACCCCGGCATTCCAGCACAGGTCGAAACCAGTCACGGAACCCACTAGGTCGTGAGAATACACTCAAGAGCGTGGAGTTGCCGGGATCGCTCTGGGCTCCCTGGAGAAATAAGATGAAAGGTGTGGCCAACACTCAAGGGTCAGGGCAAGCCGATGGTAGTTGGCCCCAAGGGAGCTGGCTGCCCGCCCCCTGCGTGAATGGACACGAGAGCTGCTCCGTAACCGTAATTTGGCGGGTTGTGTAACAGGGGCCTTGAATCGTGTGCCTCCATTGATCACGATAAAAGCCTCGAGGAATCGCCAAAAGATGAAGCGCAGAAGAACGCTCTACCACATTCTCTTCATTCACTTGCCTTCTCGTCATTCTTTCTCTATTCTCTTCTTGATATCCAATACCCTGGTGGTAGCTATTACAGTTATTTTTCAACACTCATTTACACTCTCGGCATCATGATGTTCAAGTCGCTCTTCGTCTACAGCGCCGTTCTGGCCCTCTCCGCCGTCCAGGTTGCCGCCCATGCCGCCATCAACCCGGTACTGGGAGTTTCCGGCACTGCCGTTCGCAACGACGTCAAGAGGCCGTCCAACAACGCACCCTGTGGAAACGGTGTGAACATTGCGTCGGCCATTGGTAGCTCGACCTCGGTTAAGGCCGATGCCTCGGGCTCCTTCACTGTCAATATCCAGAACTTCAACGGGTCCGTATACCTTGCCCTTGGCCATCGTGGGGGTAACACTAACTCGTATTTCCAGTGGCCGGGACGGTTCGCGCCAGGTTACCATGAAGGTGAACGCGGCCGGAGACGGCAAGAACTTTGTTGCTGGTACAGTGACAACCAACGGCCAGCTCGTGAGTCTCTCCCCTAGAAGCATACGGGTGGGGGGGTGTGTGGCAGTCTTCTAACAAAATCAACAACAGGCCCCGGCAAGCACAGGCACCGAGAAGATTGTCGCCTCGCTCCCTGCTGGTACCAAGTGCACCGGTGGAGCTTCAAAGAACCTGTGCATTGCATCCTTCACTACGGCTGGTGGATTTGGCAACTGCGTTGTTGTGCAGCAGGCAGGCGGCGGAAGCAATGCTGCTGCAGCTGGTAAGAAATTGAATCCCTCATTGTGCTCCATTTCACAGAAGCTGATTGTCTGTCCAGGTGGCAAGAAAAATGCTCGTGCCTTCCAGGCGTAACCGTTTCCAGAACTGGAAGTTGTAAATAGGAGCGTCCAAGTGCTAAGAACATTTGGTTCGGAAGACAATACGGGAAAGCAGAGGAGTCATGGCCCAGTATCTAGGTTCTATAAGCGTTGACGAGACGGATAATTGATGCCACTACCAAGAGCAAAGATGAAAGTAACCTGTCATGATGTTGATGTTATGATCCAACCAACTACGGGCACTGTCAACCCCACCAGACTCGGGAAGCGCGGGCATTACAATCGTGATGCAATTCGGCAAAAGCAATGGTCATACATATGACTGCCCGGAACAGAAGAACTATGGTATAGATCATGTAGCAATAAGAGGAACTGACATTCCAGAAGCGCTCCACGCTAGGGGCTATTGATATGCTAAGGGCAGTCTATAATAGAGGACTGAAATAGTAGGATTAGTGTATAGTATACTAAAAGGGATTAAGATTTATATATAGGGTAGACTTAGTAGTAGACATATTTAAGGATAGACTTTAATAATAGGTCTTTAGTAATTAGCTCATAATATACTTTAAACCTGCGCGGCGCAGTGATGTGCGCCTAGGAGGTAGGAGCATCATCTAGGATCCACACCTCCCTTTGAGACAGTTCAGTGCAACCATGTACGTTGACGGGGGGACGGCTTCAAAGCGTTGGACAGACAGTGCTGGGCTGAGCGTCTGCTTGTCGAATTGCATCAAGCTGCGATTGTAATGTTATCATTACCGGAAGATCAACATTTCGAGGCATGATTTATTGTTCGTTCATCGCGGTTCCCAATGTATATACCATTGACAATATTAGACTTTCCTCAATATAGCAGGGGACATCAATATGCCAATTCCGAACTATAGTGGGTAGTCAATGACTCAAGCTCGTGCATAATGACTCGAACTTGTCGTTGGTTCGGCACTCGAGCGGTCAAGTAAGAAATCACCATCCTTTGAGCGTCGGACGCTCACAGGCGCGCTTAAATCCTCTTTGAAGGCCATAAACGTTCTAATTCCACTCACTCAGAGTGGCCTGATAGTAACTCTGCATCGGAGAGAATCGGGTACTAGAGCCTTCAAATAAGACTGATAAGGATCCATCGAGCTAAGACCCACAGTGACAAAACCGGTCCCGGCGGGGGGCGAAAACCGTAAGCCGAAAACTTCATTCCCGTTCTGTCGGTTCGTTCACCAGAGCCGACACAAGTTTTGTTACATTGGGAGAAATAATGAGATCCAGTCTTTCGTGCGAATTTTGTCGGTAAGTCGTCCCGGTCCCGGCCCCCGCCCCGGCGATCGTCCGCTCCGAGATGAGCACCGCTTACCCCGATTGTTACTCCGCAGGCGGAGCAAGGTCAAATGCGTCAACAGCGGAACTCCGCCATGCAGCAAATGCGAAAAGTCGGGAAGATCCTCCTGCGCGCTGACTAGGCCGCATGTCACATCTACTAGACGGGCGGCTAAACAGGCGCGGAGAGCGACGGAGGAGGCGCCGCCAATACCACACGATCACCATGTCGACTCCCAGCGGCGTCTGGTCTCCGCACCCCAATCTCGGGGTCCAGCGTCCCCCTCGGGGATGGGTTTCCGAGATGATCGGGAGGAAATGGACAGGCATCTTGAACAGATCCCCAAAGACGTAGTGTTCGTCGCACTGGAGGCTTTCTGGCGCAAATTTCCCGAACTCCGTGTCATCCACCCATCTTCGTTCATGCAGTCTTTCAGATCAACCTGTCCGAGGGAATGTAAAGCATTGCTGGCAACCGTACTTGCAATGACCAAGACCCAAAAACCGGGCTCGGATCGACTGCGAACGCAGCTCGTGCATGTCAGCGAAAGGTATGCGTCTTATGCGTGCGACGTCTTGGCAGCATGCATACTGCAGCCGCCAGATGTAACGGTCATACAGGCACTGCTCATACTGACGCTGTATGAATGGGGCACACGCAACTTCCACAAAGCCTGGATGCATTGCGGTGAGAATACTGGCCCGCGAGATACCACTCCTTTTCTGACACGATGCATGCAGGTATCGCGATCCGTATGATGCAGCTGCTTCACAGTTCAAGAGTTGCGCCTTTCCCTCTCGAGATCTCTCACCGTAACGAGTCAAATAGCCTCACCCCCGCCATCGAAACAAGGACATTCTGGGCGTGCTTCATAATGGACTGCATGGTCAGCTCTGGTACATATAATCCGCGTGTACTGCCGAAACCAGAAATGGCCAAGCTCAATGTCCCGCAGCCGCCCACCTCCACGGAATTTGCCCTTGGAGCAGGATCTTCAGCGCAGTCTGAGCAGCCTGACGAAGGCTCGGCCTCAAATGGGGCAGATACGTTTGTTTACCTCCATCTTGATCGAAGCTTTGGCATCATGGCGGACGGTTTTGACATTTACTCCGACATAATGGCCTTTGTCTTCAACGAAGGGCGCAAAGCGCCGGGCATGTGTCTGCCCGAGAACTGTCCTTGGGTACCAACATCTCCGGTGGCGTGTTGGCGCCGCAGACTTGAAGATTGGAGGTTGAAACAGCACCGTCGGTTGCATTTTCCCGACAATAGTGTCGCGGCGCATGCAACTTTGGGATACGGAGAATCGTTTGTTTATCTCAACTTGCTCTATTACCAAAGGTGAGTCGTGCTATAACTCAAGAGTCAGGCTCAGAACTGATGGTTGAGACCTGACAGCATCATAATGCTCCAGAGAGAGTACTTCCCCTTTTTACCCACTCTAGACATGACCCCTCAGGGGCCGATTGACCCACCCATCCTGGAGGCTGAAGCTCCTCCAGGTTGGTGGGAGCAGAGCGCCAAAGAATTGTTCGAAGGAGCTGCAAATCTTGCAAGCATCCTCCAAGAGGCTTCGGAATGCGGCGTGGCAGTCATGACTCCCTTTGCAGGCTTTTGCGCTTTCTCTTCATGTTATATCAATCTCTATGGCTTCAGATTCCCACGTATCACTTGTGGTTATGGTACAAGAGCCGAGGAGCTGATGAACTCGAGCATTGAATATCTCAAAGAGTTTCGAGAGGTCTGGGACCTCGGCGATGGTTGGGTGAGTACCCAGCAAAACCTTTGGCAGTCGGGATGCCGTGGCGGCGCTAACACGCGGCAGCTGAAAACTATCCAGAACGGCTCTCTGATGTACCAAAGGGCAACTTCGGACGTTCAGAGATATCGTGGCCGATCCCGGTTCGACTTCAGCGTCCTGCACCAATCCGTGCACGAGTTCCGGGTTGTGGATAGGTCGGCAGAGCATCTAGAAGAGATCAACAATGTCGAGAGAAGCCCAATCGGCGCTGCGCAAGGGGATTTACCAACCGAGAAGCAGCGAAACAACAGCATCGGCCTGAACGTTCAAACTTTGGTAGACGCTACGGGGACCATAGATGACCAGGGTCTTTGGCCCAATTGGTGGTCGATGCTAGAAGATGTTAATGCTTCGGAGCTGTTTGCTCTAACTTGATTGCGAACCAGAAAGACTGGATATTCTTCGATCAATACAGAGGCGCTATAGCTATAGATTCTCGTTGTACCACGAGAGGTTTACCCGGGTTGGCCTCGTTTGAGGACCATATCGCGCGAGCCGACGGCGCCTGGCATGGGTTTATAAATGTCACTTGGGGTGTATCAAGATGTTAATCATTCCCAAGCAATTAACGCGCCATTCTTGCGTGATAACAGCCAGTAACTATTCATTCCCTTATATATCTAGACAACGTATAATTGACGTATATTTAATGCCTGCCTCTCTGCAATGGCGACTGTGATACACTTTGCTCAACTTGAGCCCATTTTGTATTGTTACATCACGCTGCGCCTGTCACAGCGTTTCCGCCTCAATTTCTTCGACTGCTTCTCGGAGGACTCTGCAGACCTCCTTCAGTTGCTCGTCTGTGATTATAAACGGCGGTGCGAGTAACACATGATCACCCCTTGAGCCGTCTACTGTGCCAGCGCCAGGGTATAGAGCCACACCCTTCTCAAAGGCCCGTTCTTGGATACGGAGCCCAAACCGGGTCTTGGGATCGAAGGTTTCTTTGGCCTCCCGATCCTTGACGAATTCCACTCCCCAAAACAGCCCTCTACCCCTGATATCGCCAACTGATCGGCAGTTCGTCAACTCACTCCGTAGCATGCCCTCGAGCTGCTTGCCCAGCCGAGCGCAGCGGGCTACAAGGTGATCCCGCCTCAGAATTTTCTGGACCGCCAAGGCCGCGGCGCAGGCCACAGGGTGGGCCTGGTATGTGTGTCCGTGGCTGAAAGAGTTGGAGCCCTGTCGAAGGGCAGCGACCACCTTTTCATGGATCAAAACGCCGGCGATGGGACTGTAGCCGCCTCCCAGCCCCTTGGCGACGGTGACGATATCGGGGACAACGCCCTCTTGCTCAAAGGCAAAAAACGTCCCGGTGCGTCCGGTGCCGCACATGATCTCGTCAAGGATGAGAAGGGCTCCGTGTGTGTCGCAAATCCGGCGGACGCCGGCGAGATAGCCGGCAGGGGGCGCCACGCATCCCGCGGTGGCACCGACCACGGTCTCTGCGATAAAGGCAGCCACATTCCCGGGGCCGACTCTCTGAAACTCCGTTTCGACTTCCGAAAGGAGTCTGGCCGTGTACTCGTCTTCGGCCTCGTCGTTGCGTTGGTACTGATACGCGTATGCCGGCGAAACGTGGGAGACGTGGGGGTAGCTGAAGCCTTCGTAGGGAACCTTCCTTGCCGCAACAGTGGAGATGGACATGGCCGCAATGGTGTTTCCGTGGTACGCCTGTCGTCTGCTTATAAGGTGCATTCTCTGGGGTTGCCCCTTTTCATAGTGGTACTGACGAGCCAGTTTCAAGGCCGCCTCGACAGCCTCGCTCCCGCTGCTGACGAAGAACGCCTTCTCCAGACCATGGGGTTTGCCGTCGAGAATGAGGTTGGCTAGTTCCTCGGCGGGTTCGGTGGTGTATGCCTGAGTGTGGACGTAGCTCACTTTCCGGGCCTGATCGGCGACGGCTTGGACGACTTCCTCGTTACCGTGGCCCAGCAGGGCAACAGCAGCACCGCCGCAGGCATCAATGATCTTTTGGCCGTTGGCCAGGTGGAGGTATACCCCGCTGGCTGATTCAACCATTGACGGGTGTTGGACCAGGGAGCGGTGCATCAAGCGACCTTCCCCATCTTGGGATTTGATGCTGACGGGGGGCTGGCTGTTAGTGGCCGGTGTGAAAAGCTCATCAACTCTTGCGGGTGCCATGGCTTCAGAAGTGGAGTTGTTGGAACAGGAATAGCGAAGGCTGCGAAACTTTGATCGTGTCTTGCAGAAAGTCAGATATGTTTATATTGCCATTTCCATCCACGCTAGTCGTTAAAGCCGAACGGCCGGGTCCTCCCTCCGAGGGATCCACCAGGACGTCCAGCATAATCATCAACGGAACTCGTCGAGATCGGTTCTGAACCGAAGCCGAAAGCCGAAAGCCGGTTCCCAACATGCGATGTCCAATCTTCAGGAATCGCATACACTGCACAAAACCGAGGAAGGGACGGAAAAAAGGGGAGGGGGAAGATTCTCCAATCTTCTCCCCAATGAATTTGCATCCGGGAGAGCTTGAGAGAATTTTCTTGTTACGACCATGGATCCCGAAAAAGGTGCCGCGAACCCCGTCCACCCCGACGCACCGCCGGCCTCGATCCAAGATGGGCACGAAACAGACCATTCGAGCGACGATGCCCCTCACGGCCCGGTGACGAAAGCAGAAGAGCAGACATGCGATGGCCGGGACGCCTGGATCACGGTCGCGGCCTCGTCCCTGACCATGTTCGTTTACCTCGGCGTCATCTACTCCTGGGGCATCATGCAAGTCCGGCTCGTCGAGACGGCCGGCTCGAGCCTGACGACGCTGACGTTTGTCGGCTCGCTGGCGACGTCGTTCATGATCTGCTTCAGCATCGTCTCGGACAAGATCGTCTGCCGGGTCGGGTACCGGCTCTCGGCGCTGGTTGGCGGCGTCTTCATGGGGCTCGGCGAGGTCCTCGCGAGCTTTGCGACGCGTCATGTGGTCGCGCTGTTCTTCCTGCACGGCCTCGTCTTCGGCCTCGGTGGTGGACTGTGTGTTTTTGTGAGTCTTTACGTCCTGGGATACGGTCCCGTGGAGCCCCTAGTCTGAGCGTCTTCCGACTAACACCTGGCGTCTCCTACAGTCTGTCTCGACTGCTCCGATGAGCTTGTTCAAGAGGCGCAAAGCCCTGGCGATGGGGTTCGTCTTTGGCGGCGGAAGTTTGGGATCCGCAGTCATGAGCGTCGCAACCAACTTCCTCGTCAGGGACCTCGGTGTCGCGTGGACATTTCGGATCCTTGGTTTCATCCTCTGGGGGGTGTCGATACCCGCCTCGTACTTCTTGCCGCAAAGAAACAGTTCTGGAAAGAAGGCCTCACGTCAACTGCAGTGGTAAGATTAACATCCCTATAGCCTAAAAAGAAACCAAGGACTAACGGGCCTAGGTACCGCTTCAAGCAACCGCGGTTTCTCTTGCTCGTGGGCGGGACGATCTTGGCCTGCTTCCCGCTGTTCATCCCGCCCTACTTCATCCCCATATTCTCGAGGTCGATGGGCTATCCCAAGGAGGTCGGGATCATAATCCTCGCGGCATGGAATCTGGCATCCACTCTGGGGCGCATCATGGCTGGTTGGGTCGCGGACACGCTGCTGGGCCCCGTGGAGAGCCTGGCGATCTGCATGCTCTTCATGAGCCTGAGCTCTCTCGTCGTATGGCCCCTGTCTTCGTCCATCGGCATCTTCGCGGTCTACCTTTTCTTCAACGGCGTCGGCTGCGGTGCGTTTTTCAGCCTGACGCCCATCGCCGTCGGTGCCACGTTTGGCGCCGAGAATACTCTCAGCATCATTCCGGTGATTTGGACCACGTGGTTTTGCGGATTCTTCTTCGTAAGTCGTAGCGCCCCTTCCGGCCGAATGTGCGGCCTTTTCTATTCTTTTCTTTTTTTTTTTTTGACCGTCAAACAGGGCACACCGATCGCTTCTGGGCTCTACTCTCTATCAGGAGGCGCCGACGGCCTGGAAAACTTCAGGCCCGCTGCGTATTACGCCGGTGCTATGGCGATGGCGGGGTTTGCCTGCGTGTTGGCAATGCGGTTCACCCGCACACACGAGGTGACGGCAAGGATGTAGAGAGCCTCACCAAGACGGAAAAGAGAGACGATTTTCATGAATGTTTGACTTTGGATCATGCAAACAGAGCATATAGACCCAGTCAAGCTCCCTAGAGGGCCGAATATATCGACGACGGCAGGGCAGAATACGTTTAGACAGATATTATGAGTTGAATGACCTGAGTCAATTTATAGATAGGCGAATTTAAGTAAATGCGTGTACCGAAATGCTTGTTCATTCACTTAGTGTGTTCGTTCGCCTTGGCAATTTCTCCGGCCTACCATTTTGGATATACGGGCGCTCCTTAAGGAGATCTTCGTGGCGCCTTTCCGTCGTTATTCCATTAATTCACTCTTCCTCTTCAGGCCTAGCACTCACTGCCTGCAAGCCACAACGGTTGGCGCCGGCAACTTTACTACATCTGGAGAGGTTCGTCCCAAGGATGATCATCTGAGGATCTTCCCCTATCACCATGACACTGCATGAACAACAGATGCCAGAACGGAAAGCTCAAATCTCTCTCTGCATATGTGTTCTTTGCCCTATCTGCTATCTTGTATGGTGTAATTCTGGTATACTTCATTTACTAACCCGCATCAGTAGAATCTTGAAGGCCTCATGGTGTGTCTGAAAGAACTAATCCGATGCAGCTTTCATCCCATTTGCTACTCGGCATCACCCTCATTTTTCTCAAGCCTTCCGTCGCTTGAATCGGCAGCTCATGTCACAGTTGAGGAGAGACCGGCCTCTGGTCCTGGCTCACATCTCCAAGTTGATGGCGGCATGACGGTGGAAGGATGGCATAGAACGTCTAGACCCAAGGCACCCATCAACCATAAATTGTTCATGAAAAGCCACTTGGCGCACCGCTGAATATGCGAAGACCATATCCTGGGGCAGGTCCAGTTGGGTGACAACTACCGCCATAACATCACACCCTCCCCTGCAGCCACCTGCCTGCCGGCTAGAGGCCTTGCAACGTAGGCTGAGCGGCGTGGTCGGGGTAAGCCAGAAACATTGTAGGAACTGCTATTGGACTGTTGACAACCGCGTGATTGTATTGGTATATGGTGAAGACTCTTGCTATTGGACATTACTATGCCGAAACCTTGCCCTCTTTCCGAGTCAGAAAGCAGACGTCAGAAGTTCTGATGGCATACGCTTTAACACTTTAACTTCATCCCCACTTCTCCCTTAGATTCCCCCCCGCCAGCTGGGATGGCTTTGAATGCATCACTCATTAGTCAAGCCCGTAGACTCTGTTTTGGTCAAGGACCTCATCTTAGCACAAAACCCGCAGCCCCCCATCTACTCGTCATCGTTTATGTCGATAACGGTCTTCTTCCATTGACGAGCTGGGATGCGTCGCTTGAACATGATGTCGATCTCGCGGAAGGACCGGCCCTTCATCTCGGGCAACCAGATGTAAGACACGACGAAGCAAACGAAACCGGTTGCGCCCCAGACGTAGCCACACCTGCCGCCGAGGTTGACGCCCTAAACAAGGCAATGTCAGTAAATGTGTTTGCTTATTGTAGGATTTTCAGGGTTAAGAGTGGAGGGCAGATGGGAGGGCGCAGCATACCGTCGGGTTAAGCATGTAGGTTGCGAGGAAGATGCAAGGGATGTTGACGATGTAGTAAGCCGCACGTCCGATACCGGTGGTAAGGGGACGGAGCCGGACGGCTGACGTCTCGGCAATGATGACCCACGAAGCGGGGGCAGGTCCCAGCGTGAAGCCGACCGAGACGATGAGACCCAGCGAGGCCATGGCCAAAGAGGCGGCGTTGGATTCGCCGACGGAACCGGCGATGCCGAGGGCGATCAGGAAGCAGACGTTGATCAGCGAGCCCCAAACGTAGATGGTGCGTCGGCCGAGGTAGGTGGTGAGGATCCAGGAAAGCATGACGAAAACGGTCTGGAGGGCGGAGGTGATGAGACCGAGGGCGAAGGCGAGGTTAGAGCCGATGCCAGCCTCTGTTTACTATGCGTTAGCCCAGGCGATACAAGGGCTATGGGAGTTGGATGGGCAAAACTCACGTCTGAAGAAGTAAACGGCCTGATTGGCGATGAGGTTACCGGTGAGGTTCTGGGCGGCGTAGACACCGCAGACAATGAGGGTGCGGTATCTGTCAGTGCCCTTGAAAAGCTCTGCGTAGCTGGGCTCCTTGACGCTCTTCTCGTTCTCGATGGTACGGCGCATCATGGCGATGGACTCGTCGATGCTCGTGCGCTCCGTTGAGCGGCCGAGGCGGCGGACGGACTTTGCGGCTTCCTCGAGGCGTCCCTTGCGAACCAGCCACCAAGGGGACTCGGGGGCGATGAACAGGAGGACGGCGAGGGGGGTGGGGAACATCCATTGAAGGGCGATAGGTACCCTGGATCATATTTTGTCAGGCAAGTCAACGACAGTCAAAAAGGGGAGGGGCACAAACTTCCAAGCGCTCGAGTCGCTCTTGCTCTCGTAGACGTAGCAGACACCGCCGACGATGATGGCGCCAATGGCCCAGAACATCTGGAGCATCTGGGTGGCGGGGGCTCTCAGCCTCATGGGGACGATCTCAGAGCAGTAGGCGGGGGCGTTGGCAATGAAGATGCCCCAGGGAATGCCCTCGAGAAGCTGGGAAACAAACATGACGGCGAGGGAGTTGGCGAAGTAGAAGATGAAGATGAAGGCGTTGAGGACCATGAGGCCGGTGATGGTGGCCCAGCGGTATCCGATGCGGCTGGTGATGGGACCGGCGATGCAGACGCCGATGATGGCGCCGAGGGGGCCGCCGACCTGGAGGGCGGACTGCCACGAGGCCTCGATTTGATAAGCGCCTTCTCTGTCGAGGACGCCAAACTGAAGCTTGAACTCGTCCATGGCAACGAAGGCGCCCATGAGAAAGACGCAGTACGACTCCATGATCTGGACGGCGTCGCATGCTTGTCAGCTGCAACTCGGTGGAGAAGTGATGAGGGGGGAGCGGGGGGCTGTGGATTGAGGCAAGCTTACAATGGTGGTGGACATGATGAAGGCCCAGAGGGAGGCCATGGGGTACAGTTTGACGGCCTCGAGGACTCCCATGTTTTGCTCGGCCTGCTCAGCCTCGATGGCGTCGGCCTTGAAGTCGGCGGCCTTGGCCTTCTCGTCTACCTCGGAGACATGGTTAACGTCGGCGGTGTAGGACTCGACCTTTGTGGGGTCTTCGCCGGTCGACTTGGAGTCGGTCTGGTTGCTCATGTTTGCTGAACACCTCGGGGAGATGGGGGGGGGGAGGGAGAGGGGAGAAAGAGGAAGATGGAATGAAGGATGGAGGACAGAGAGAAAAGACGAGGACACGAAAAGAAAAAAACGGAGCTGGAGCTGGGCTGCATGTTATTAAAAGTCTTGTCTTTCTCGCTTATCCAGTCTCGTCCCTGACTCTCCCCCCCTCTCTCTCTCTCTCTGTCCCTCTCTATCCCTCCCCATCCCTCCGTCTCCAACTCAATGCAACCACTACACATGGAAACAGATGACAGGAACTGGGATGTGAATCCTACCCCAGCTTGGGGTGAATCCAGGCATAGCTGTGCCGTACAACTGTGTTTCCCCGCTAACCCCATCCTCCCCCGCCGCCCCCCCGCAAAGGCGCTCACCAACTCCCCATAAAACCCCAGACTGCTGCCCCCTTAGCGTCGGATATCGGGCCCAAATGAAGCGAGCCCGGCGGGGAATCATCCTGCACCTGCACGTCGACGCGTTCCAATAGGAGGGGATGATACATGTTCCAATGTGCAAGGGTCGGAATCTATTCGTAATTCCGGGCGTAATACTACGCAAGCTCACCATTACTTTGCACGGAGTTGCAGTGGGCTGGGACCGGGGGCCTGTTTGTCATGGCTCACATGTGCTCTGAACGATGGTAGCTCCTTGATTCAATGTTACCCGCCATTACTATTGAACCTAGGTACCTGGTAATCGAGTGTTTTTACTCGCGTCTCTCTGTCTCTCTCCCCCTCCTTGATGGATCTGGATGAATCGTTAGATACTACCCAGTCGAAAAGTTAAATAAAAACAAAAAAGAAAAGAGGCGTAAATTTGCCAATCTAGCTTGCTTTCCCCATCCGCATCTCGGTGAGCACTAGCCCGCCCACCGAACCCGACTTTCTACCCGCTACTGCCCTCCCCCTCCCCCCGAGGTCAAGCAATCTTATTTGAAGCATATCAATTGATAGCATTGCCCTTGCGGTGCGTGTGTCTGCAGACCCGGACCAACGCGCAACTTCGACGGCGACCAACCGTTGTCGCTGGCCAATTGTGGCCATGTTTAGGCTAAAGCGCCGCGGCGGGAACTCCACCATTGGCCCCTTTCCACCAGCCGTGCGTGCTTAGTTAGGTTGGCGTGATTAGTACGGATACAGCCATTGTTTTTGTTCTGGTTGGATGCTTCCCGACGGCCTGGACGGGCGGCGGTAAGGACAAAAGGCGCCGCACTAGTCACGGACACCCGCAATCTTCACTCTTCAGCAGACAGTCTCGCTCTACTCCGTAGCTTCGTTTCATTTCGCATCCAGGAAGAGAGAGGAACAGAGAGGAGGGCGGGGGTCATGCGACCTTCTTGCATCGCGCTCCGATTCGTGCGCCACCCCGGACGGCAAAAAGGTCTGCAACGGCGCGCCTTCGCATCACGCGGATGCCCGCACCGTTGAGCGGCCGGCGCTTCTCGTCGTCGCTGCAGCCGTCCCCGACGTCAAGGAAAGTGACATGTCGTCGAGTCGGCGTGGTTGCTTTTCTTCTTGTTTGGAAAGGGCGGCAGCGAACCCGCCAACACGGACGAGTTGGTTCGGTCTGACTCGTCTACGGGGGTGGACGAAGGCTATTCAGAACACCAACCGGACTGATGAAAGAAAACCGTGCTGCGTCGTGTGAAACCTGCCATGTCGCGAAGCGGCTAGTAGCGCACGAGGTGATGCCTGGATCCTGGGCTTGATGGGCTGCCGGGCTTGAGCCAGCATCCATCTTCGTTTGTTCCGCGGTTCTTTGGGAACGAACCCGGCGCTGGGTTGATCTTGGGACTCTTACGTCTGCAAGACTGCGCAGGTGCTCGTGGCAAGTGGCTCATGTCGTGGTTCACGTGTTGGCGGGAGTAGCATCTTGAGTGTTTGTGTGCGGCTGAGGAGCGGGGCGCAGCAGTGGCGCATGCGGTTTCTCGTCAACGTGCGACATCCTTTGTGTCGCATGCAACAATCTGGGTGTCGCCAATCGTATCCCCAAATCGCTGCAGCTCGGCATCCCGTTGTTTGCATTATTCGTCTCTATACTTGGCCTCGCGCGACGCTCTCTGCCACGTACCTAGTCCTTCTGTTTCTGGGAGTCTTCTGCATGCCCCCGTGGGGGTTTATCCACATCTTTGGCGCCCGGGGTGAATGGGTCCTGTATCTAGGTATCTCATTGCGTCCCAAGAAGCAGACTCCAACCGGGGTTTCGGTACCCTGAGGCTCGTTCCTGGGGTTTGGGTTGCAGCTGGTCCCCCTTCAGAGGAACGCCAAGGACAAGCTACCCGTTTTTCCAGCAATGAAAAGGAGGGGGGCCTGGGAAACATCAGAGCTTGGCCGTAACACCTCCAATACCTAGCCCACAAGGCTGGCTTGGCTGCACCTTTCATCTTCTGTTCGTCTTCCTCATCCGGTATGGTGCGTTATCAGCACAAACATGTGTAGAGAGGCAGCCAGGCCGAGCCTGACTACCTACATGAGCCACCCAGCCCTGCAGCATGCTTATGTACTAGAACAAAGCCGTAGAAGACGCATCTAGGGAATTTATCTGTTCCGGATAGGACGCATCTAAAATATGCCTCATGGTACACCAATTATACACACCTATACTTATGAATTATTAGAATAGGGGTATATCATCTCTGTGGCTGTGATCCCAGTGATAATACGGTTTTAAATGTGCCTATCTAGGTAACTTTATTCTTGATCTGAAGGTGGTACCAAGACAATGTGTTTTGTCACACCTTCTTGAATTCTGTCCTCTTCTCCTACCCCAAAGTCTCATCTTCTTTCATGTATTAGTACCACTGTACTATTCAGGTACAGCCAAATCACACAGGGCCTCAAGGCCTGGTGAGCGAGATGAGCATGTCACTTAGACGGATAACAGATAGTAGATCGAGAGGATCCGTTGGTGATATAACATTCTGGTACATTTCTAGTAGCCTCTGCCCTTAGTTCAAGCGCTGCCGAATAGAGGTCAAGCGGCTACTTACCCGTTGGGGGTAGCGTGTCAAATTCCGTTATCACCAGGGTTGTCTGTATCATACTAGGGTGTGGGACATTTTTTCTTTCTTTCTTTTTGTGTATGTGACTTGTGATTTGGTCTACGGCTGTTTTATCCCATCTGATATATCACCCGGCTGCGGGAAGTTTTCCGTGTATATTGATCCATCAGTTCTCCACCAGCCAAATAATAAATCTTTTAGACAAGAAATTGATGATTTTGACCATAGGATATATTTTGGCAGCGCCGAATTCCCGGGGCTGCCGGGCATCGCCACGTACTCCCCAGTTGCCCTCATATCACTTTGCCGTCGCAACAGGCTGTGAATCTTCCTACCTACTTCCATATAGGGGGGGGTCACTACCACTGTTTGTTCTAACAATGCCCAGATACCATGCCCCCAATTGAGATCTGTCCGTGGAGCCACTCAATGTTGTTGTCTCAAGCTATATATAGGTGTAATGTCCATTGATCACAGCTTTTCGCAGATTTGGCCACGCGTTCAAACGAACTAGCCTCAACAAGTCTCATAAAAGACAACGACTGATCTGACCAATGCTCCATAATTCTTACTCACTCTTGAAGAAGCTTAGTTCTCGGAGGCAGACACTCGATTATTATGCATCGCTTAAACTTAGGCTGTGTAGCTTTCTCTTGACCGGCCCGTAATATCCGGCATCGGTCAGCAGTCCAAATCGCCAAGTCTGCGGCGTGCATAACAAGTGGCACTTTGCATTTCCTACTCAACACAGCGTTTGCATATGGGTGTAAGTTTAGGCTTGAACGGCAGTCGAAAGGTGGAGAATGCGAGATCTTCTGCAATTAAAGCGATTTAATGGTTGTCGTGAAGCTGGGACAGCTTCGTGTGGCTGGTACCAGTGGTAGCGCCACCGACGTGGCTTACCAAAAGATAGGCTCACATAGAGATTGGTATTTCTACCCGGGAATATATAGATTTAGGAAGTGGAACTACTTCTCTCTATGATAAACAGACGCTGCGGTTCATCACAATGACATACAGCGTTATTGTCGTTTGAAGAAGGGATTGGGCGAAAGCCCTTGGGAGATAACGGGCGAATGTGGAGAAAAGACGGAGTGGTACCAGAAGCACATATATTGCGAATGTGACGATGGACAGATGCGCTTATAACGGGATCTTGAAAATGTTTCGCAGTATTGCATTAGAGCGGGATTATTTGTCTTGGATGTCGAACTTGATAAAGTGTAGCTAATATTATCAAACTTGGTCACGTGCGATGTCACCTGGAACGAGCAAGATTTTATATGGAGATCGACTATGAAAACCCAACTTGCAGCAGTGCACATAAATTTGCAGAAGTTCCGACTCGCCCATCTCCACCGAACTCACGCTCCACCTCGAGAGAGATTACTAGCAATGGTAGCAGCTGCTTATTGATCAGGAAGCCAGAACGCGACGCAACTAACAAATAACAGGAAGCACATCCGTTCGACCAGGAAGCTTTTGATGCAGCAAGTAAAGAAGAAAGCACTGATGAAATTAAGGGTGCGGGCCAAACAATCCACTGGAGCAAATGCGACCGTGCATACCAAAAGAAATGCCAAGGGGGCGTTTGGTTCGGCATGCCTAAGGATGGAGGGTGGGTAAAAGTCTTGCCGGGTTATTCAGTTTATTTCATCAGAGGGGCAAATGGGGAGGTTAGACGCACTTGAAATTCGGCATCCATCAAGCTAGTTTCTCTCGTCCAATTGTGATCATGAAACTCAATATGCAAAGACCAGTCGTTCAGTCAGCATTGACGAGCTTGTTAACTGGTGTAACTGGTGCGGTTGGTCATCAGCCCATGGTGCGTTGTACAATCAGATTTGGTCTCCTCCACCAGCAGGACAATAGTGCTCAGAGCACGGAGTACTTGTGAGCACCTTTGTATTTGCCCTGACTGGCCCATTGTTGAGATAGTTGGCCACAGCCTATACTCTGGATGACTCGCGCTTACGAGGCATGTTCAGTGGCTTCCAGCGAAACCACATACGCTTGTGGACTCTGCGACAGACTTGTCTCCAACAGCTTCCAAATTCTCCTCCGCTTCATGGACGCTCCTGGCTCTCGTGTACGGTGCCTCAATCTAGTGTTCATCTATGATTCGGTCATCCTCGGTTCTCAATTGGGTAAGCTCTGTCTTATACTCATCCGTTTGGAACCTCCCACGGGTTGCGTGTTGCTATCTTATTTCCACCTCTCTACTAGTCTTTCCTCGATGTATTCCCGAGATGTTTCGCAGGTAGAAGAGTTAGAAGATAGACCTGGATGTTTCACTCACCAACATGCAAAGTGTCACGAGCTAGAGCACACAGCAGGGCATAAGAGGATTCAGGTCTAAAAGGCTTGTTCCTGGGAAAATGAATGGGAAGAAAGTAGAGACGTATATATAGTTGGGAAGTATGAAGCCTCACGTGATAGAGCACATGAAAATACTCTTACACAAGGTGGAAATGTGTAAAGCTATCGTGACACAAAGTGCACCTTTCTCTCTTCCTCACCGCTAAGGTGCCAAATACAGAGTAACTGACCTGAGCAATCTTGCCATGTAACCGTACACCAGTGATTACCAATACTCATCTTCGCTTCTACGGCTATACGGCCAGAGAAGTACTGCTCAATGAGTTGCTTCTAGAGCACTATTGGGTCCCACCCCAAAGTAACCATGTGCCAGGGGTGGCCATACTGGATAGCTTATGAGGCGAGAATGATCCGGGGTAAAGATGAAATGAAGGGGTAGTGGCCAGCGGGGAAAGATGGGGGATCGAATAGGAGCCCCTCCCCTTCTTCTTAAGTCCGGAAAATACCGATGGATCTGCGTTGCCTGCCGTGCCGTGTTAACCGGAGGTCGTGCAGACCACGCAACACGCCGACGCGGAAAAACAAGTTTGGTTCTCCGGACCCTCCGTATAGCTTACTTCTTTATGACAGAGTCCCCGCAAAACTGGGGCGAAGTACGGATATATATACATAATTATGTTACCCTCTGCCCTCGTTCCGGCCTTCGTGTGACCTACCCCAAGTAGGGGACAAGGAAAAGAGAAGAAGAAATTTACTTTCTTCACTTTCTTCCTTGCTGGAACCGTTTGATCGACTCTTCGTCGCTTGTTCCTTTCTACCTTCTCTTCTCCTCGAGCAAACTTATGCTAGCAAAGACAAGCTTCTCCCCAGACCGTGTAGAATCAGCACATCATGTCGTACCTTGGCCTTCAGGGCAAGTCCCTCGGTCTCACACTGAGTATAGTCGCAGCCACGGCCTTCGCTCTCCAGGGCTACGACCAAGCCGTCATGAACGGTCTACTGACCCTGGATACCTTCAAGCACCAGTTTCCCCAGATAAAGAACGCCAATATTGAGGGTACGTACGCACGCATTTGTTGTCTTTTTTTTTTCGCTTTGCTTCTGTATCCCTTTACGACATTATGGCGGCTAACCGAGTGTTTTCCTCTTCTTTTAGGTACTGCTGTGGCCATTTACGAAATCGGTTGTGCGATTGGAGCGCTGTCTTGCGCTTTTGTTGGTGACGTTCTCGGTCGTCGTCGCACCATCTTCATTGCCGGATGCATCGTCATGATCGGTGTTGCGATACAGAGCAGCTCGTTCTCTCTCGGACAGCTCATTGCTTCCAGAATCATTACAGGTTTGTCAGCTCCTAGTTCCTGATCTGCTGTATGGGTAATCTCGCAAGTGCAAACGTTGCTGACTGGCGGCTCTTCCCGTCACAGGTCTCGGGGTTGGTGCCTTGACTGCTACCGTCCCTATGTGGGTGTCCGAGTGCTCCAGTGCCAAAGAACGTGGCCGCCGTGTGCTGCTGCAGGGCTTCTTCGCTATTGGGGGCATTGTGGTTGCCTCGTGGATGGAGTTCGGCCTCTATTTCGTCGAAAACAACCAAGTGAACTTCCGCTTTCCCATCGCCTTTCAGGGCTTATTCGCCATCATCATCACCTCTCTCGTCATGTTCCTACCTGAGTCCCCTCGTTGGCTCATCAGACAGGAGCGCTTTGAGGATGCGAAGAAGGTCATGGCTGCTCTCCAGGGCCTTCCAGAAGACTCCGAGGTCATCAACGGGGAGCTTTCCCTCATCCGCGACGCTTACATCGAAGAGCAGCACCAGGCTGGATCTGTATTCACTATGGGGCCTGAGCGCCAGTTTCACCGTGCCGCCCTCGCTGTCGGTATCGCCGTTCTTGCTCAGATGTCTGGCATAAACATTGTCACCTTCTATTCCACAACCATCTTCCAGCAGCAACTCCACTACTCGCCTACCGAATCTCGCATCTTTTCTGCGTGCCTACAGGTCTGGCAGTTCATTGCTGCCGGCTTTGCTCTTCTACTCATTGACAAGTTTGGTCGCCGGAAGTTGCTCATGGCTGGTGCTCTTGGCATGTGTGTTGCTCAGACTTCACTTGCAGGTCTTATGTCCGATCAGGCCAACAAGTCTGCCGGTGAAGCCGCCATCTTCTTCTACTTCGTTGCCATGTTTTTCTTCCCTGTTGGTCTTTTCCTTCTGCCTTTTATGTATGCTGCGGAGATAGCACCCCTGAACATTCGTGCCCAGGTCACCGCCATCAGTGCCTGCGCCAACTGGTTGTTCAACTTCCTTGTTGCTGAGGTGTCCCCTCACGCCATGGAGAACATCGGCTACAGATATTACATTGTCTATGCCTGCATCACTCTCTTTACTTTCACAGTTCTATTCTTCTTTTACCCAGAGACCAAGGGTCGCACTTTGGAGGAGATCGATGACATCTTTATTCAGTCGAAGAGTATCTGGGATCCAGTGAAAGTCGAGAAGAATTTGCCCAGGAATGCTGTGGCGCTGGCTGAGCGTATTCGCCATGTCCACGATGAGGAGAAACATAAGGCAACTCACACAGAGGAAGTGTAAGGAAACTTGGCCTACGTCAAAACAACAATAGAAATATACCAACACGTTTCGAGAACTAAATTAATGACGATCCCCATATGTACATTCCCCTTTAAGTATTATATGCAGAACTAATAATTAGCGCTATAGCTACTGAAAATACACTTGGGTGGGTTTCGCCTAAAACAGTACATGGACAAAAAGAAATGGCAATAAGAAATCGCCGAGGCATCTGGTTCTCCCGCATATTGAGTGTTGTGGCGTTTCTGAACTCCTGACACTAGAATGAAGGCATCGAGAACCTGGAGCATCACAGACCAAGGCATGCTGGACGACAAGAAGAAACAGAAGGATAAGAAAGTCAATTGCATAAAAGGTATCTGTAAGGCCAAAGACAGCTCTGAACCTGAAGTAGGGTCAAGAGGTGATTCAAGTGGGTAAGCATGAAGGAATTCCCCCAGACGAATTTCTGGAATAAATGGACAGAACATATTGAAGTACTCGGATAATTAGTACAGAAGCTATGCCTCTGAATTGTATAAGGCGCTGAAACAGAACCTGGAGAGGGTACAAAAGAATCGCGAAGTGGCCGAGTGGCATTTCAATCTCACTATGGAATATCGTCTCCAGGTGGCCTTTTCTCCTGCCATCAAAATCAAGCCAAGTCCGATCTACACCTCGAATCGAGGAATCTCACCCTCATAATATCGTACAATACGCCATTCCCAGAAAGCCCCGGATTTAAAGTTTCGAGAACGCTGTTGTAATTGTTATCTTCCTCAGACAGGTGCTTGCAATATGAGAACGACTACGGCACCACTGAAACATGTGCGAGAATCAAACGCATGAGCTGGTTCAGGAAGCTGCCAGGTGCGGCGTCTATGAATGCCGTATTTCCCGGATGGGCCTCTTGGGTCGACATGTCTTACTGGAAATCCTTCTTGAAGATCCGAGCCTTCTCAAAAGAGTTGAGCAAAATGGTGTCTCTTTACCCGCATCATGTCTGGCATTCGGTTACTCATTTAAATGAACCATTTGTATCAGATTCACAAAGCCATAAGTCACTTAGGCCCCGATCGGCAAAACCGATATCATTTGACACTTAGGATAAGGACCGATATCACGGACCAAGCACCAGCCACAAGTACCAAAAAACTCAAATCGTGCCGCACTAGGCCAAAAACAGGAGGGTACATCATGATTTCAGTTCTACGTTGCAGAACTTGATTTATATCGGCATAGGCCATGTACCACCCTAGGAAGTGACTTTTTTTCTGTTAATTCTGCTAAATCCCCTGCTTTTCCTATACAAATTATTATTAGGCTCTAGACTTAGGTTAAGTGTTAGAAATAGACCAATAAGGCAGGTACTACTGTTACCTACTGCTACTAGCACGCCTGCCTACTGTTACTAGCGCCTACCTACTTAACAGTAGGTAGGCGCTAGTAATAGTGTACACTAGGAATAGTGGGCAGGCGCTAGCAGTAGACTACAGCTGGCGCCAGCTGTAGCAGGGGTCCTAGCAGTACATTCACCAAATTAACCTTTGACCTTGCATCAAGCTCTCGTTAACCCTAACCCTATGTACTTTTATATCGGAGTACGGGCGATATCGCCCTGATATCGGTTTTGCCGATCGGGGCCTTAGTAGCCTGTAGCTGACTTGGTTGATTATGGCCTCATATAAAGTTTGGTACTGCGTTTTGGCTGCTCAGGGAGTTACCTACTGGAGAATTAAGGAGAGCTGTCGTATTTATTCAATGACACCCCCAGGAATTGCTGTGAAAGCCCTGCAAAGCCACTTGTGGCCTGTGAAGAAGTAAAGAATTACCTATGTAGATGATATCTAGTTTTTTACGCGGAATACACAGGATTATTGGGCATATGATCCAGAAGACAACATGCAGCCGCCTTCCCAAGCGTTCTTCCGATATCAGCTAATTAAGTATTGGATACAGTGGTCGGTTACAGATAAAAACAGCCTTTTGAAAAGAGCGGTTGGTGTGGCAGGAGTATCATGATGCAATTGTGCTACGCTGAATAATACCTAGTCCAGATTATTCACGTGCATTGCATTATCTAGAGGATGTGCGTTGAATGAATTCTAACATGTTTGTTATTGACAAAAGAAATGAAGTTTCAAGTCGCTCTATACGTGATAGCTACTCATATATCTCATAATATGTCTGACAAACCCCTTAATGGTGCGCCCTCCCTGGCCTCTGGATATTTTTCATTGGCACAAGATCCGTTTCATCACTGTCGCTGTAAGAGACAATGAATGTTTTCTGGAACTTGATTTGCCGGTCTCCCGCTTCCGGGGCTGGGTCGTTCCTGTCTACCGAGACGACGCCAACGGTGCGTAGATGGCTTTCCACTGTTCTTGACCTGTTGTCACTGCCGTACTGCTTGTAGTACTGTCTTCCCTTGCTCCGGAGCGTCGATCCAGACATAGATGGGAAAATCTTCACCAGGATCATTCGCATAGAGGGCAAGCATGCGCACATGATGCCCACGCATATCTCAATCGTGCTCCATACACTGACGTCCAAGAAGTCCATTGTGGCATTGTGTCCCTTTGCAAAAGTGACAAGCGATTGCAGGCGGATAATGCTCACGACAGTCATACTTGTCGAGCGTTAGCTGGCACTCGGCCGGTGTTGGAAGACAGATATGAACTTACAATGTGCCAATGACAAACATCAGCACCACGCCGACTTTCTTCTTCCAATGAAGCTTTAGAGACCTCAATTGCCACAGCGGAATCGCCAACATCCAAAGATCCAGCGCAATGCTGATCGAGGCATTTGACCAACTGACGGCATTGGCGTCCGCGCAACTGCCTTCGTGCAGCCCATCCCACTTGGTCCAAAAGTAATGGATCGGTTTGCATTGGAAAATTGCGGTGAGGACGAAAGCCAAGCCCCATGCAATGATAAAGATGGCCGTTCCCCAGAGAATGCGCTGCACTTCTCTAGCAGGGAAGATGCGCATGTAAAAGAAGATGATGGCGAGCTTCACCAGGGCGGCCTGCAGGAAGTACAGCCACGCCATAATGTAGAAGTAGAAGAGCACGTTGGTGATCTGCTGCGGATCAAGCGTCCATATGTCCCTGCCCAGGCCGTTGGCGGTCGTGCCGTGGACGGTGATGACCGAGCTCGGCATGGCGGCGATCAGCGTCGCCAGGACGAACCAGTCATCCCAGCCGATGTCGAGGCCGGCGAAGAAGATCTTGTACGCGAAACGACCAGAGACGCAGATCGCCGCCATGACAGCCATGGTATTGGACAAGACCACGTATCCCGTGGCTCGGTTATGCACGGGAGCACCGCAGTTCGTAAGGCTGGCATTCTTGGTAACTGCGTGTTTGTTTGTGATTAATAAACGTCGAAGCTCCTCGCCATTATGGGAGGCGCAGAAGACCTACCAAGAGATTCGGGTATAGTGCAGGTAGCTGACACGCAAAGAGTAACGTTGAGCTGAAATCGCTCATCAGTACAGATGCAAGTCTGGTTCGTGGGAGCACAGAGGCCACCACGGAAAGCGCTGGCGATGCATTTCGTCTGGGAGAGATGAGTACGTCGTTAGTCAAACTGGCCTGCTTCCCGTAGCTTCTGATCTGCATAGGTTCATGTGCGGAAAATTCTAGCGCTGAAGATCCAAGAAAAAGCAACATCAAGGGATAACTCACGGCACAGGCCGGATAGCTAGGCTTGTCGCTGTTGGGGGCGGTTTGCTGCGCCTGTACGGCGAGGACGCCAAGGGCCACGGCTAACACGAGACGAAGAAAGGAGGCCATGTTTGGTTGGCAGGTGCTTCAGTCTCGGGGGTGTCCCCATGGATCCGGATGAACATCCCTTCATAAATGAAATCGATGGCGCTCTTGCATGCAGATATTCCCGATCCTCCATGTGGCAGCCCATTCTAGTTCAGTTCTCGGTGATTCTCGCCATCATCGTAAAGAATTCAAGGGCACGGCGCTAGTTCATCCCTTGCTTGGGCCGATGAGACGCCATCCCCTCAGATTACGCACTCCTGGTGGACGGTGACACTCTTATGAGAACCCCCGAACAGGGGCTCTGTCAGCGCTTCAACCGGACTAGCAGGGCTCCCATCCGCAGTCCGCACGGGGAAATAGCCGGTGATGGTCGATGGCATGCTCCTTGGCGGCCCGAACGGGAACCAGCTCCGATCTACTATGTAGCTAAGAGCCCCTGCAGCATAGGCGAGGAAAGGCGGAGCGGTGGCACAGCACCCGCATAAGTCCGGATTCCCGGAAATTAGGACAATAGAACCTCGCGGATTGGTTCCATTCGAGACTAGTCTTTTGAGAACGCTCTAGGGCACGTGGCATCCACATCGCTCACAGGTGGTGCTAAGCTGGAAACGGGGCAGACTACTCTGTATGCTGCATGCTGCAGAGAGAAGGCCGGTCGCTGCAACCATCGTGGTGGGACGTAGACTGACAGGTGCTCGGGCGTGCAGCAGACTGGGATACATGCAATTTGATAACTTGGATATATAGTCACGCCGAGCCAAGGAGTCCACTTGTAGTTGGATTAGTCTTGAGCCTTTCAATCAACTTCCAGTAGCTTAGGGTCTGTGTGCAGTGAGGTGGATGGAATGGAGAAGGAGATCGGTACCAGGACGGAAGCAACATCCGTCCCCCGCGCAAGGGTTTATACATAGACGCCGGGGCCCGCCGGGGCCACCGAGTGACTTTCCCGGTCGCCTCCGGTCCGGGGGCGTCGCATGCACGTTAGCGTATCATGTCTTTTAGCAACCCATACGAGAACATGTGGCAATTGCATGTAGCCCTATCCTCAATAGGCAGCTCCCCGACTCTGCTCTGATAACTGGGTATTGTTGGACAAGGATCTCGCAGCGGTCGCCGTGCACTCGATCCAGTTTGAGGTATCTTGCCCGCAGTCTATCGACTATGCAGCGTCGGGTAGCGTCTGATTGCTATTTCTTGATATCGTATCGCGTGGGATTCAACGGATGATCAGGAATAGGGGGTGGAGTTGGCTTCGTTGCGACCGAGGTAGAGCTCGCAAACCGTTCGCGTAGAGGCACCCACGCAGGGGCAAGGTCCATTGATGCGAGGAATATATGAGTTGCACTGGCGGTCACACTTCTTGTTGCTCGCACTTTACTCATCACCCCTCCATTCTCTTGCCTCCTTTGGTTACTTGTCCAACTCAAGCCATTAACATGAGGACCTCTTATCTGGCCGTAGCCACCGCCTTGGTTACACTCACTTGGGCCGCCGTCGCCCCCACGCAGCAGTGTCGCTGCTTGCCTGGTGATGCGTGCTGGCCGTCGACTGCCTCTTGGGAGGCACTGAACGCCACCGTCAGTGGACGTCTGGTCGCGACCGCCCCCATTGGCTCGCCCTGCCATGATCCCACCTACGACGCCGCCGCCTGCGAGGCGTTGCAGTCATCCTGGTCGAACCCCTTGACCCAGTTAGTTCGCTCCCACCACACGCGACTGACGAAGTCCTAACCTTGTTTTGCACTAGCATCCCCTCTTCCTCGTCTGTGATGCAGTCGTACTTTGCCAACCAGTCCTGCGACCCCTTCACTGATAGAGCCGTCCCTTGTACCCTTGGCAACTATGTCAGTTATGCTGTCGATGTCCAGGGCGCGGCAGACGTGAGCAACGCTCTCAAGTTTGCCAAGGCCAATAATGTCCGTGTCGTTGTTCGCAACACCGGCCATGAGTAAGTGACTGATCACTGACGGCCGACACCGTATATTTGCCTCTCTGAGACAGTGACTGACTTTCGGTTTCTTTAGCTTCCTTGGTCGATCCACTGGTGCTGGTGCCCTAGCCATCTGGACCAACCACCTGAAGTCGATGGACTTCACCACCTGGTCTGACGAGCACTACTCCGGCCCCGCCGTCAAAGTTGGTGCCGGTGTCCTTGGATACGAGGTGCTTGAGGCGGCGCACGCCGAGGGACTTGCAGTTGTCTCTGGCGAGTGTGCCACCGTCGGTCTCGCCGGCGGTTTCATCCAGGGCGGAGGCCACAGCGCTCTATCCACTGAGTTTGGTCTCGCCGCCGACCAGACGCTTGCGTTCGAAGTTGTCACCGCAGATGGCGAGACCGTCGTTGCGTCTCCCTCGCAGAACGCAGACCTGTACTGGGCCCTCAGCGGTGGCGGCGGCGGCACCTTCGGCGTCGTCACCGCTGTCACTGTCCGCGCCCACCCGGAAGAGACCGTTGGCGGCGCAGCCTTCCAGCTCCTTGCCGCGAGCACTACGCCCGAGAAGTTCAGCGCTGCCGTCTCCAAGTTCCACGAGCTGCTGCCCGCCATGACCGACAACGGCGCCATGGCCGTCTTCCTCCACAATTCCCAGTTCCTGGCCCTCCGTCCTCTGACCGTCTGGAACTCGACTGCCGCCCATGTCCGCGATGTAGTGCTTGCCCCGTTCACCAAGGCGCTGGGGGAGATGGGCATTACCCTGGCGGTCGCGTACAGTGAGCTCTCGTACCGCGACCACTACGCCACTTACATGGGTCCCCTCCCCCAGGGCAACCTCGAGGTGACCCGTTACCAGTTCGGCGGCCGTCTAATCCCCCGCGAGGTCATCGAGAACAACAACGATGCGTACCAAGTGGTCGTCAGAAACCTCACTGCCAACGGCGTTCTCCTCGCCGGCAGCGTTGGCCAGTACAACAAGCCGGCCGGCGCCCCCGACAACTCGGTTCACCCGGCGTGGCGCAAGGCTGTCATGCAGCTCCAGCTGATCACCAACTGGGATGACGCGGCGCCGTGGGCCGACATGGAGGACTCGCAAAAGCGCATGACGGAGGAGTTTATGCCGCTCATCCAGTCCGTGACGCCCGGGAGCGCCTCGTACATGAATGAGGCCGACTTCAGGCAGCCGGACTGGCAGAACGCCTTCTTCGGTGACAACTACGCGAAGTTGCTGACCATCAAGAAGAAGTATGACCCCGAGTCGCTCTTCTATGTGCTCAAGGGCGTGGGAAGCGAGGCGTGGGACGTTGCACCCAATGGAAAGATGTGCCGGGTCTAAGTCCCCCCTCCCCAAGAGGCACCTAATAGCAATAATCACACTCATTCATCCGTAAACTTTGCTGCCATACGGCGCCTGCGTGACAAACTGTGTGATCGAGCGCATGCTGTATTTGTACACACATGATAATGAAACGTTACTTGCTGCACTGATATGTTGTTGGCTGGCCGTATGGTAAGTGAATTGCTCGTACCAGAAATGAGAGCCTAGCTATTATACTCAAGGATCCAAGATACAAGGCAGTCTCTCCGCCCGCAGCCAATGTCGCATTGAGACTTTTCTCCTACTGCATCACTCCCGAAACCATCGAATCAGCGCTAGGTAATGGTGGGATGGGTAAATCCGCTCACGTGCATCGTCAACCCGAAAGCGCAACACTCTGCCGCGCATTCTCTCAAAGTTGCGCTTGGATACCAACCACCACGGTCAGTTGCGACAGCGCCCGCGCCGCCGTCTGTGCTGTCTTGATCGGAACTGTCAAACTGTCAGTCGTAACCTTGAGGCATGCCGGACGATGACTGCCCTAGAGGGCCTTTATGCGGCATTAGACCGCGACACAAGGTCAATCAGACTATTGAGGTTTCAGCCCCCAAAAGAGGACGAGACTCTTCGTTGTACCCTCACCGCCCATTCACTTGACGACGCGCCTCCTTTCATTGCGTTGTCTTATGTCTGAGGGGCCCCGGACCCATGTCACGAGATTGAGATCAATGACGCAAAGTTTCGGGTTCGAGAGAACCTCTGGCATGCCCTTGGGCAGTTAGTTCACATTGCAAGCGAAAGAAAGAATTGCATATCGGAGCAGAAGAAGTCCAGTACAAAGCTGCCGCAGTATTTCTGGATCGATGCAATTTGCGTCAATCAAGACGATACCGCGGAGCGCGGCCATCAAGTCGGCCTCATGAAAGACATCTTCTCTACGGCCCACCTTGTCATTGCTTGGATTGGGCTGGAGGAAGGCAACGTTGACCTGCTCTTCGACTACCTGCGAGGGCTGAAACACACATCCAGGCGCGAGAGAAATCACTACCTGCGCTCCCAGAAGCGCAAGTTCGCCTTCAAGGACGCAAGGTGGCTGGTCACGCGATCGTACTGGTCCAGGATCTGGATCGTGCAGGAGTTCACGCTGGCGAGGGAGTTGTGCGTGCTGTGCGGGCCGTCCGCCATCTCCTGGGCGGCCCTGCAGCAGTTCCGTCCCTTTGGGATATCGCAGCAGACGAACCTGGGGTTCAAGCACCTGTCGAAGCAGGAGAACCACCATAGCATCAAGAAGCACGTCGAGAACTGCAGGGAGCTGTCGAAGTTGCGAAGGTCCTGGCAGACCGACCCGAAACGCCTCTCCTTTACCGACACGCTCGGGGCGCGGCCGCGCCTCACCAGGCTGCTGGTCTTCTCGAAGGACTACCATTGCACAGACCCTAGGGATCGGGTCTATGGGCTCCTCGGCCTGACGGAGACTGAGGGCGAGGACCGAATCCCTGCCGACTACGACATCACACCTTTCCAGCTTTACCACCGCGTCATGTTTCACCTCCAGCAACAGGGCCAGACGTCCCAGTCCCAGCTCTTCCGCGCAAGACTTGCTCAGGGACTCCAGATCTGCGACCACGACGATCTTCCGGCATCCGATTTCATCTACGAAGCGGTGGCCGGCCGTTGTGTGAAAATGCTATTTATAAAGGAATCAAATATTTGGCGAGATCGGTTTTTGAACGATATTACAAACCACTTTGAGTTGGAAGGAAACCGAGATGATCTACATGAATTTTATAATTGGGCGAAACACCACTTCCAGGCATTTCCTTCAGATCAGGACCCGGCAACCTGGAACAGGTTTGAGGATGCTCTTGCGGTGGCCCTGCAAATCACCAAGAAGAGAAAGTAATGGCTTTGGGGTCTCCAGAGGCTAATATGCCGAAGCATTAGTCGAAAGTGATTCCTAGCGTTATTATTACATGATCGGTCCAGATTATTATGGGACTGTGTATACATGATGTTACCCAAGTCTCGGTAGTCTCTAATACTCTTTTTAAGTATGTGACCTTGTTACCGACTTCACATCACGTGTTTCTTGTAACCTTCAAATCGATACTACAACACTCAACGATTGCTCTATTTGTGTATCCCGACCCACAACCTTGTTCATTTTTCCGGCTATTTCAGGATTCATGATTGCTGTAGTTGAGTCTGCCGAACTCTGATCGGTATGTCAAGATAACTTCCATTGTAAAGCAAGGTCAAACATTCGGCCTCTAAAGGCTTTCAGATCAGGAGCCAAACATATAGATAAGATGAACTGTGCTTGTTATATTCATTATTTCATGTACGGTCATGACCTTTCTTTTTAATGGTGACAAACAATGCTATAACCCCATGCCTAGAGACGATATGAAACGGTTGCATCACGCCCAACCGGCTCAAATGAGCTCCATGATTATTAAATCGTACCTCTTTGTGTTTCCTCATCATCGGGCATATTGGCAATCAGAACATATAGAGTTTCCTACAAGTCATTGTTAGCAAGCTAGACGAGCTGGACTAGGTTCAACTTACTGTCTCTAAAGCCTTTAACGCGCCGGTAGTGAATGAAGGCGGAAGGGTACTGATAAAAGGATCCATATCCTTAGGGTCTTTTCGTAAGTAGCGATCCTCAGTTTGTCCCTCCTTGGCATCTCCGGGCGACATGACAGAGGCTGGATTCCAGAATGGGCTCAGCCCGCTGTCGCTGATCTTCTTCTCCTCCAACAAGGCTGAACACCTGTCCAAGCTGTTCAAGGTGATCTGGCCCATAGACTGGCCTGTGGTCTCTGATGGTTGGAACGGGATCACTTCCTGTGAGCGAGCCCGAACTCCGAAGTCTACCGTTGCGACCTGGGACCCATGGCGGTGCTCCAGGTGATTATGTACGGCAAGACGTTGATTTTTTCGGCTGTCAATGTATTCTGTGTCGTCACTCTGCAAGGGATACTGGTTGCGGGTTGCTGAGATTCTGGCCTCTGGCAAGACATTCGCATCCCCGTCGATGCGTTTGAATGTTGTGGGCTGAAGCCATTCGAACATCCCCATCCCTTGGAACGGGCTGAGATTTGCCTTCGGCCGTATTTCCATGCTTCTTCGCTCGTTCTTTACCCGCTGCACTGGCCTTGATCTAAATGCACGATCCAAAGAAGAGCCTTCCGGACCTTCGGGTTCCCAAGTCATCAGAAGGCATACAAGTCCCTTCGGCTTGAAGAGTTCATTGTTCGTCTTGTCTATGAGCTTATTCATAGCCGTGCTAGGTTGGATGCTCTTAGCAGTCTCGAAAGCCGTTCCAACAGCCATGGAGATGAAAATGTCGTGATGCGTATTATAGCACAAGTGTGCGAATCCGCTAAAGTCGATAGCTTGGGCACGAGGTTTGAGCTCGGCTAACCTGTTGAGCTGGTTGATGAAAGTTGAGAATGCTTTTTCGTCGATACCGGCATTTCGTAAAGAAGACGAATAATTGCAGACGAATCCTCGCGAGCGATTCATGATGCGCCGTTGGGGGATGATCACGGGGCTTGGCAACCGCACGAAAGCCACCGCGTTGGTCGGCGGCGGCGGCGGCGGCGGCGGTGGCGGCGATAACGGCGGCGATGGGGTGAGCATATATGGCTCGACCTCATGTTGTTGTAGAACATCCAGGTACTGCCGTAGTTCGCCAGCGTGGTCAGTAAACCGATCTCCTCGTCTTTTCACAGTTTGCGACTCTTCACCCCGGGGGCCTAGTCCGCCGATATCGTTATCCCAAATCGGGTCCTCGTGCGGCGCTTTCCGTTTGTCCCTTAGGTATCGATAGCTCGTCGACGCCAACCCGCTCCCCCCGGCCGCACGCTGCGCAAGTTGAAGCTGAAGAGTCCGGATGATATCTTCAGGAGACTTCTGTATTGGGGGATTCTGTGTACTGTTCAGATAGTTTGGCATGGTCAATACCACCGACACAGAGCCCATTGCGAATATAAGCGCCGTCGATTTTCATGAGGATAAATTGTATCTGCGCAGCTTTGTTGAAGGTGGCATTGGAGATTGGATATGGTATGCAGACAGAGCCAATGGATGGGCAGATGTAACGAGAAGAGACCTCAAACCTTTTGACCCCTTTTCTGCTCTTATCTGAACTAACGTGCATAGACTAGTGTGACGGTCGCACAAGAAGCGCATATGCGCGAGGGCTTGCGAATGCGAAGGGGACCGGGCCATCCACTCGGCTCCGGTGGCCAGCGGAAAGTTGGGACGACATCAGATGTAAGGGAGTAGTTCATTGCCTCAGAATGGGTGCATCATTAATAGATGTCCAAATACGACACCGCTTTCGGAAAGCATCGAATCCTTCGAGGCGTCGGCATTCGGGGCGTTATGTTTGATTAACAGCAAGGCTCAACTCCACTATCGCGGACAGCAAGAAGCGGCAACTGTCTCATGCATGCCGGTACCATACTATGCTACGTCATCTAGTGCATGCTGATTCAGAAGCTTTTCAGAAGCCTTCTCCACCACGGGAGCTTATCTAGATTATGCTCGCCGGTCTCAATCTCCCGGGACTCGTCGAGATCCCTACGCCGACCGGAGAGCAGATCGATCTCACTCACTCGCCAAAAATGAGTCTTGAACCAGAATTTGTACCCGAACCAGATCATCGGGAACAGGGGCAGCAAGATGTAGGCGTCGACGAAAGACCCGGCATCGAAAGGTGCTAGGGTCGTCCAGCCCTGCACGATGGCTAAGAATACGTTGGCTGCCAGACCAAAGTAGGCGTTCCAAGGATACCACAGAGATTTGAATGGAAGAGAGCTTTCGGCGTGACCCTGGGCTTTCCATGCCTGTCGAAACCGGATGTGGATGAACGAAATAGACCCCCAGACGAGGAAAGTCGAGACGCCGCTAAGGTTGACAATGTAGGAGTAGGCCTTGCTGGCGCCCGTACTGATGTTCATCATGGACAGGGCGCCGCAGAGGTTGGTAAAGACGATGGCCGGGATGGGGACGCCACGGCTATCAGTTTTCCCCAGGATCTTCGGTGCCTTTCCGTCTTGTCCCATGTACAAGAGAGTACGCGAGCCAATGAATATGGACGAGTTGACGGCTGACAAGCATGTCACGGCGATAAAGGCGTTGATAAGGTGCACACCGCCCTCCCATCCGGCGTTCTGAATGGCAACCGTCATGGGGCTCTTGACTGCCCGAGATCCTCCATTGACAAGCTCGTCGGCGTTGGCGGGGCATGTGAGACCGAAGAAGAAGGCAGAGCCCATGTAGATGAGGATGATGCGCCAGAAGACCTGACGAATGGCAAGTGGCACGGCGACGCGCGGATTCTTGGTCTCGGTGGCGGCGACTGCGACGGATTCGACCCCGGCGTAAAAGGTTGAGCAGAAGACGAATACTTTGGCGACGCCACGAAACCCATCCGTGAACGCGCCAGGGTCACGCCAGTACCGGAAACCGAGGGCATCTTGCCCATGGATTCCTCCAGCAGCATAACTGGGAAATGGTCAGAACGGGACGGTGGACCAGGTTTCGTAGATAAGCACTTACATGATGGAAAAAAGAAAGTAAGCAACCAGGCCGATAAGCTTCAGCAAAGCCAACCAGAACTCGGCCTCTCCAAAAGCCTCGATTCCTAGCAGTTGAAACCCGAGGAAGACGGTCTGAAATGTCATTAGTCATAAACTCTTGTCAAGACTTGTTCAGAGCGACGTACCCAGAATATCAGGAAGTATCCCCACAAAGGGACTTTATCACTCCAAAAAACAAAGATACTGGAGAGCACATTGTACTCATTGGCCAAGACACACATCCAGATGATGAAATAGTTCCATCCCAGGGCAACCCCGAAGCCCTTATCAACGAAACGATCTGCCAGTCCTGTGAATGCACCTCCGGTGGGGTACAAGGTGGTGAGCTCGCCGAGACTCTGCATAATGCTGAAGGCAATGATTCCGATGACGCCAAACCCAATGAGTAAAGCTGCCGGGCCACCGTTGGAGAGAGCACCTCCCGCGCCGATGAGCAGGCCGGGCCCGATGATGCCTGCCAGGGCCATCATGCTGAGATGCCGCGTCTTCAGGCCTCGCTTGACGCCACTGTGCGGGTCAAAGGCGGAGAAGTCAGCATCGATCGAGTTCTGCTCTTCCCCGTACGCGCCGTGGACGCCCGTGCCATTGATGACAGGGACGTCATCATCATCCTTGTCGTAGGCTCGATACCGAGACATCTTAACTCTGGAGCGAAAGTTGAAGAGACCGGCTGCAACGGTGGTTTTCTTTGGTTGAACCTGTCCGCAAGTCTCTTATCAATCGCCTCCAAGTTTCCGAGATCGAACGAGCACAGCCTACGGTGTTGTTGACGAGTGGGTTTGGGAGTTGGCGAAGTTTTTTTTTAAACATCCCGAGATGCTGGACCCAATACAGCGGGTCGGTACCTCGCATATGCATTACCGCGAGATAAGAGCTGTGCCAGGACGGCTGGCAAATTCCTGCCGTGCACTTTTTCCACCCTTCAAAGTCGTCTGGAGTGGCACGTATGGTGATTGCGGATTTGCGCCGTGCGATCGCGTCATCGCATGTCGATGCTCTGCGGCGACTCCAATTGGATGCCCGCGGGGCCCCAATGGTTCAAGACCCGCTCAGCTGCCGGTTTAGTGCGGGGAGGGAACCTCGTCGTTGCCAAGCGATCCGTCTTCAGGAAGAGTGTTCTCATTGGAAGTTGATAATCGATATTGGTGTAAATAGGCTGACTCGTGACCAAACTAAGGTTCATTGTCAAGACGAATGGCGTTTTCACAAGGAATCTTGGGGCGAAACAAATACGTGAAGTGACTCGATATCTTAGACCGCGAAGTGGATACCTAAGATATTGAAGGCGTATCCCCAATTAGAATCTCAGCTGGAAGTGAATCAAGAAAATCACCATATTCTACATATATAATGCCCATCAGCTTCAGAAACTTGGAAAAGCATCCAGGATGAAAGGGTCGACGAAAAGTTCCTCTGCATGCAGGACAACTGATCTGACATATTCATGCACTCACCAGCTTAGCTGTCGTATCTGTTATTTGGAATAGATCGTCAAGTCGATGTTAAACAAACTGCGTATCTATATCTCACGAGAAGACCTTCCTGAAGTCGTCGCGGATAGTGATTTTCATTGCTCACTGGCTGTATGAAGGGCCAAGGACTAATGACTGCGAGGGTCTGACATTGACAGTACTCGCCACTCGGTATCTTCCCGGCTCCAGCTTAATATGAGATCGTCTCCAAGAGTATTATCAATGGCATTAGAAATCAAGTGGAGAATGTATTTATGCAACTTGTGCTATAAAGGGCTGACTATTGGACTCGATTAGCGTCGTCATTTTTCCGTGACAATGAATACCGTGTTGACGTTTAATCTGGGAGCTAAATTACTTCCTGGCAGCTTTCGTCCATAGCCTCGTGGTGAACACTATCAAATCATTCATAGCCTTGTGGGTGCAATCACCATAACCACCGGAATGGAGCGGGGCAGTTAAGACCATAGGTAGCAAGTGTCACTACCGATTAGGACGTAGATACGCCGATTAAGGAAGAATCAACAAACTTTCACACCATCTTTTTAGACCTACCTTTCCTTACCCTGATCGGCCTTAGGCCTTCTGAATAATTAACCTTCAAACGTAATAATAACACAAGACAGATCGGGAGTATTACTCTTCCGATCGGTGTCAGCAGTGTCTCAATCAGCTCTTTAACTCTATTTATCAAGGGTAGTTATAGCTCTAATCGGGACAATCCGCACACCGATTGGTGAGGGATCTTGTGTTGCTTGTATAGGTTGTCGTGTTCTCTCTTGATTACCGCACCGCGCGAGTCCCAAACTGCCTTACACGCATCCACCACTCTTTCTAAACTGCCAGCCGTGGCAATCGCGATTACCCTCGTGGCTTGGTCAAAGTCATGCTTTGAGTCTGATTGTGCAGAGGCAGTGTTCAGCTGGTTACAAAGCTATCCTGTCAATTCTTCTGGGCAACGTTGCAAAGCAGAAAGCGCTTTTTCTGATTTCCCCACGTGTGGCTTCAGCGGGTGATCATTTGACATACCCTTGTGTCGTGAATTTGATGATCTTGATATTTCAGCTTCTTTCGGAGCCTAGTTCTAGAAATCAGTAAAGAGTTGGATTTAATGAAATCAGCCCATCAATATAGCAGTTCGAAAGTACGCAGACCAGGTAGATCGTGCAGCTTTTTTTAACCAACCTAGGAAACCGATTCATGTTATGGTCATTACGTGATAACCTCAAAAGCCTTACTGTTCCTGTCTTGGCTGACAAAGCCCGACGACACTACCCGACATATCCACATCACCTCAATCGCCATCCTATAGTGCGGCCGCCGCCGCGGTCACTTCACTTTTCATCCCTGATGGCATACGGAAATGTAATTGGTCGTATGTACTTGCGGAAATATGGCCATAATCCACCATCACACATGATGATTGTAACCGAAGATAACGTATCTCCGTCGCTGCGCATTAGCTCCGCCATGCAGTTTATTCTCCCAGGGTCCTGCTAATAAACCCACTAACAGGCAGCAGCGAAAACAACGTTACGGCTCCATAATCTCCAGCAAAGGACCGAAAGGGTCTGGCCGGGTCTAAAAGATTCGCCCCAGCAAACCCCATCGGCGGTCATGGCTTGAAATTGGAAAGCTGATCTTCACACCGACAAGTCGAGGAGGCAAACCCCAAAGGGCATAGGAAGCCGGGAAAATCCTTCGCTAGTTGTGGAGTACGTGTAAAATCCACAAAACGCTCACTAAGAACCCTTACACTTTGGATACCCTTTATTTCTCGTTACATCATGGGCGCGTAAATGCGGCGCAACGAGGAGGCCTATCAGCTCATGGCTTTGTGATGTACAGGGACTGCGCGTTGCAATACGCCTTCAAACCGCCGGCACCGTACTCGTATCCGATACCGCTCTGCTTGTGACCGCCGAAAGGCGCGTTGTACTGCAGCTCCAAGTGGGTGTTGATCCAGACGTTGCCGGCCTTGAGCTTCTTGGCGATGCTCTCCGCCTTTTCGAGGTCCTTGGACCAGACTGAGGCGCCGAGACCCATGAGACTGTCGTTGGCACGGTGAATAACCTCCTTCTCGTCGCTCCACTTCAAGACGGGGAAGATGGGACCTGAGATACCCCACGTCAGTATGGCCGAGAGTTTTGTGAGATACAAAGGGGAAGGCGAGGGCAGTTAGGTTTTCAGTCTGCATGCGTATCACTCACCGAAAGGCTCCTCGACAACGATTCTGGAGTTATCGGGCGGGTTGTCAATCATCGTGGGCGTGATGAAGTAGCCCTTGCCGTTGGATGCAGGCGCCGTGGATCCAGCGACGACCTTGAGCTTCTGCTCCTCGATGTCCTTGAGGAGCTCCTTGACGCGCTCGAACTGCATCTGGTTCTGGACAGGGCCCAGGACCGTGCCCTCTTGCTGGCCGTCGCCGACGGGCAAGTTCTTGACAACGTTGGCCATCTCGGCGAGGAGCTCGTCGTAAATATCCTCGTGGATGTAGATGCGCTTGATAGCGATGCAGACCTAATGATGAAATTGTCAGCAAATTGCACCAAGTGACGACGAATCTTTGGTGATTGGATCAAAAGTACTTGTCCAGAGTTGTACAGAGCCAGCATTGTAATCTAGCGTAGGTTAGCACGAGCTTCAAACGGCCGAGTACCGACGCCGACTGACCTTGGGCGCGACTGCCTTGATGTCTACGTCCGGTAGCACGATAGCCGCATCGTTTCCACCACTGCAGGTTCACGGGTGAGTCTGGATACCAGCAAGCTTCATGACGTGTTGACGCCACTTACAGTTCCAGAGTAACACGCTTGAGGGTCTTGCTGCAGCTCTCCATCACACGCTTTCCGGTCGCGGTTGAGCCAGTGAAGCTGACCTTATCGACACCAGGGTGGGCAGTCAACCATGGTCCAAGGTTGTCGTCGCCGCTCAGCGCCTGGAAAACGCCAGGAGGGAAGAATTGCTGAGCAAGCTCGACGATCTTCAGTCCGCAGTAAGGAGTGAAGGGGCTGGGTAACGTTTAGTGCGCGGCTTCGTGAGGCACAGATGATGTAGGCTTACGAGGGCTTGAGGATGAAGACATTTCCGGTGACCAGAGCAGGACCGATCTTGCCGCAGGCTATATTTTTACATCAGTACCAAGACGGTGATAGGTATAGTCGAAAGGCGCCTACCAAGAAGGATGGGAACTGGGAACTGTTAGTGGCTTGACCTCTTGCAAGTTTTTTGGAAAACACTAGAGACTTACAGTTCCAGGGGACAATGCCGACAGCGACACCTTGATTCTTAATCAGTTTCATAATCCAAGTGATACGGTTGAGGGACGGGTCCACGAACCCAAGGGCGTGTATCTCGTGATAACCCGGCGGTCTGGGTCGTTCTCTACAACCTCTTCGTGGAACGGCAGGTTGGACATTCCCTTGAAGTGCTTCACGGCTTCGCTGACCTCGAACAGTGCGAATTGGAGCTACCCGGGCACATGGCGGGTTAGCATGGATGAAGCTCGAGGTATTTATTTGCATGTTCCTCCATGACTTACAGGTTTACCCTGCTCCTTGGTGAGCATCAGCGCAAACTCTTCCGCGTGCGCCTCGAGAGCTTCGCCGAACTTAGCAATGGCTTTCTGGCGCTCTTCATAGGGGGTCTCGGCCCAGGCCTCCTGAGCCTTCTTTCCAGCCTGCACTGCTCTGTCGACATCTTCGGGGGTAGAGACAGGGACCTCGGGGTTGGCCTCGAGCGTCGAAGGGTTTACGTTGTGTCTGGTCTTGCTCGTGGTCTCGAGCTTTCCGTCGATAACATTGTAGAATTTGGTCCAATCCAGCTTGGACGTACTGTTGGTGGCCATGATGGGTGATTGTTTGGCAGGGACGGAAAGTTACGTGGCGGTCCGGGCTCGGTATGTGATACTTGGCTAAACAAGAATCGGGCAAACAAAGTGTAGGTAGAAGAGGGGTAGAAAAGAAGACGGGCAGGCAAAACTTGGAAGTGTCCCTGACTTTGTTTCTCTACCCTATCTCCCATCTCAATTTACGCGAGAGGGGTCAACAATTGCTCAGACAATGAGGGACAGCTAGTGGAGGACGTGGAGAGCAAATGCAGGGTCACTGATACAAGGATTCCATATCTGTATTCTTCAGCCGAGTTACGCCGCCCAGAACCCCACTATCAACGCTACGAAAACCGTCATTGATCCACGATTTACATAAACCAGTAGTATCCGCAGAACGGTGTAGGCTCCGCGGGAGGCGGGGCCAAAGTAGGAGCCCATTCCCATTCGGAATAGCTCCCCGACGAAGAACCCCCCATGGGCATGCGTTCGTCTTCCACAATACGCAGCCACGCAGGGTCCTATAATACCCCGCCGGTCAGTAATACCTACCTACTTCAAGCTTGGGTAAGATGCCCCTGAGAAACCGGCGGTGTTTGTTGGAACCCGCGTGGCAGCCAAGTCAAAACTGAGACGGAGGCAAATGAGTTGATCGGCCGAGGCCAAGGTACGTACCTTTGCCAACGAGCTGCTAGCTCTGGCCGTCAATGCTGACACACAGACTGCGCTTCTGCCGCGAACTCGGCAGCGTGCCGCTCCCCCTCTTTGGTCGTCCAATGCTTCTAGGTACCCTGAACTGACCATGTTTCCTGATTACCGTAAAGTCTAACGATGTTGCGTGCCTCATGTCGGATGCCTCGTGCAATGTGCGTCATGCATGCAAGGTACAAGAAATCTTAAAACCATGTTTTGATTGCTCATCCTTTCCCAACCAACACAGGCAGTGTTCTAGCGTCTGCCACACTAATAAAAGTGCCCTTTCCTATCCCAAAAGGTATCTTAGGGCCCCGTCTTTGCAGACTCGAGAGCCTCCCCGCGATCCAAGAGATCCACAGTGGAGGAGAAAGTACCGTATTATAGGCCCTTTAGACCCGAGGAGCCCGGCAAGGACCCTTTTGACAGCTCTCCCCAAAGTTAAAGGCCCGCGGCCCTGTCCTCGGGGAACCCCATGATTTTTCCCGATATGCCAAGTCAACATCTGTCGACGATTAAGAGTCGACTTCTGTGATTCCTCCCACAAGCCTGTTAGGTGCCTGGGGCGGGGCCCTAGGGGGGCACTAGAGTGGGGCTAGGACCAGATGAACTAGTCACCAAAAGGACATAAAAAGGGGAAAACTCTACAGGACTTAAGGGTTAGAGGAAGTAAATTAAAATAATTATGATAATTAAACCCTAACTATACTAATTATTAACTTCTTTACTTAATACTATTCTGGTCTCTAATAAAGCTAGTAAGATTATTATAAGTTATTATATCCTTAGCCTTACTAAAAGTGCTAATAGGTTAAATCTAGTTAATTAACTATTAACTTGTTAGGCTAGGTGCATAATTAACAAGATGTATTGTCTAGTTAAGTCTAGACACCCCTAGTACACCCCCTTACTTAATATAGCACTAGGTAATATACTAAAGTACATAACTTTAGTTATATGAAATAGAGCGTAAACACTTGCTAGAATATTACAAGAAATGTTAACACTGATATTTGTACGTTTTTGTATAATTACACCAGTTCCTACGACAAAACAAAGCCAGCTTGACGTATTTGAGATCCCGATGTTGATTTGATAGGAGAATTGTAAGTGTTGCTGAAAAGAGAGTGTGTCTAGGCAGACTTTAGTTATTGGTTATTGAGGTGGATTCTGTTCTGAACAGTGGATAGTGAGTCAACGTTACGTCTACATGCTGCTTTGTTGACGCTTTTACCTGCGGTCAGCGTAACACTGCTCAACTCTTATCAATGTTTTGATTGGGTACATCTCGCCACAGTCCAGGTGTTGAACTCTGCCCCCTCCGGTAGAGGTCTCTGCAGGCATCAAGCCTACAGGGGTTATAATACATAGTGCACCACTGCGTTTATACCAATAAGGCATAACAGCTGTAGATCCATTGGTCTGTCATAAAAATGACGCTACTGATTGCGAGCAGCAGTTGACGTCTTATATTACATGCATCACATTGCAGCATGCTGCAAGTTATGCTCCGCTGTAAAACATCGACTCCGTGTTGTTGTCAATCACCTGCATCACGCCTAAATAGGTCCATCATTGATCCTGGGACAAAGGCGACGCACTGCTGTCTCAGTTTGTCGTTATCAGAGTGGCCTAACTCGTCACTCAGTGGAACCCCAATGCCAGCGTATTAGGTATATTTACCAAGTTTAAGGCCCTGAAATGTTTGGGTTTCTTTCTCAATCACCCCCTCTCTCCTCGAAACAGCATGCCTCATACTAGTCGTACTTCTCAATGATTAATATGAACAGCTTGAGCCCCCTCCCGGCTCACGCCCTTTTCTTTGTGATTGGCATCCAGCTTCACGCATTCATTTTCTGCAAGGGTGAATGGAACACTGCCACCACCAAGTTGATTAGGAACTTTGCCTTGGGCGTAGGACTGCTTACAGCGTCCCTTATCCGGCTGGCCCCTGAGACTTTCCAAAGCCATGCGGCTGCGTTCAAAACAGCAGCTTCTCTTACGGCTTCCCTCATCTTTGGGACATACAGTAGCCTACTTGTGTACCGTGCGGCATTCCATCGGCTGCATTCCTTTAATGGCCCCTTCCTAGCGAGGCTCTCTAATCTGTGGATCACCTTAAAAGCAGTCAAAGAATTACACTTGCATCTAGAAGTTCAGGATCTCCACAAGAAATATGGCGATATTGTGAGGATTGGTAGGACTCCCAACACATCACGGGCGTCAACTTACTCACCTTGCATGGTACGCTTTAGGCCCAAGCGAACTGTCTATCAACAATCCGAAAGCAGTCATGGAAATTCACTCTAACCGCTCACCATGCACCAAAGGTCCGTGGTACGAGTTTATGCACCCTAGCTATTCCTTGCAACTTGTTCGAGACAAGCAGGAACACGCACACAGACGTAAGGCTTGGGATAAAGGGTTCAGCTCTAAGGGTAATTTCCTGTTCCAACAGCTTATCGTATAGGAACCTGTGAGCTGAGTCTATTACTAGCCCTTAGAGACTATGAGTTCCGTGTAGCAGATTTTACAAATCAGCTGCTTTCACAGATTGATGCACATACGGGCGAGCCATTCAATATTACGGACTGGTTCAACTTTTATAGCTTTGATGTCATGGGGGACATGGCTTTCGGGAAGTCCTTCGGGATGCTCAAGGAGGGCATTAAGCATTCCTTTATGACCTCGTTGCATAAAGATATGCAGTCTCTTGGCATGTTTAGCCACATGATGTGGCTTTTCCCCATTTTCAAGAATACACCAATTCTAAATGTCAATACCAAACGATTTTGGAACTTTGTCAGGTCCCAAGTGGATGACAGGATCAAGGTAACTTGCAAAAGCCGAGCGCTCGAGGAAGATGCTAATGGAACAATTACTGTCAAAGAACAAACCTGAATGCCCCGATGTATTCTCGTGGATTTTGGAAGACTTTGAATCAATCAAGGAGCCTACACAGCAAGACATTGACAACCTGTATGGGGATTCTCACCTGATTATAGTGGCCGGGAGGTATGTAAGTCAAACTACCCACTTTCCGCCCACCCCTGCATTCCGCCCACCCAAAATTGAAGCCATCACAACCAACACCACTTTATTTAAATAACTATTAACTACCTCTTGAAGCCATAATAATGCAACTTTTGGCCTTACTAGGTAATTCTGATGCGCTAGATTCATCTAAATTATTTTTAGCCTTACTAGCCTTAATTTACGCCTTCTATATATCCTTAATAGTTATAAATTTAATATTAGGGTCTAGATAAACAGCCTTCTTTTTCTTAACTATACTATTACTGATTTTAGCCTATAGAAGCTCTATTTAATACTAAGTAGTAGCTAATTAAAAGGACTACTGTTAGAAGCCTTTTTTAATCTTTCTAAAGAGCTAGCGTTATATAGTAATATTTTACTTTAGTTAGTCTAGTTAGCTAAATAGATATAATTAATCCTTAAGGTCTTTAACCTTTCTTAGCGTAGACCACTTAATAGCAGATAAATATTCCTTAAAATCCTAGCTACTATAGGCATTATAGGCCCCTTTTGCCCTCTTATTAATTAGTGTTAATAGTGTTAATAGCTTTAGTATATTTAGTAATAGATAGAAGCTTATTAGAGGTTTAGTAATAGTAACTAGCTATAACCTAGTGTATTTCTAGCTACTTTTAATATTACTAGTAGTTAGCCTAGCCTAATAAGCCTTATAATAGTAAGATATAAATAACCTCTTACTAATAATAGTTAAATTATTCTACTATATAAGGTATTTAAGCTCCTTATAATAGGCTGCCTTTATAGGACTAAAGACTACTTAGTTAAAAGGCTAGAGGATATAAGAGGTATATAGTAGTAAGAATAAGAGATAGACGTTATTAGTATAGTATAACTATATAAAATCTATTATTATATAGCTCCTATAGCTATCTAGAATAAGTAGTCTAGCCTTATAAGGTTAAGAAGGCTTAGTCTAAGGGAGGAAGACCTTTTATAGCTACTTAATAGTAGTACTATTTATAGTCTACTTATTCTATATTACTATAAATTCCTATCCCTTATATAGATTAAGATCTAAAGGGAACTACTACTATTAGACCTTTTTACCTTTATATATAACTAAGGGATAAAAAGCATTACCTTTAGTAGATATACACTTAATAATAAATACTTAGGCTTATAATCTAGGCTACTTTTTCCTTACTGCCCTTATAGTAGCCCTGCCTAGCACTAGGCTATTATCCCCCTTACCCTTAAGGATACTAGTCTTATCTATATTATATCTATTAGCTAGGTTAATAGTAGTAATATAAGGTATTATAAGATTTTTAAACTAATCCCTAATAACCTTAGTAAATACCTTATTAATACGCCTAGAATTAATAGAGCGACTTCTCTAGACCTTAATAGATAGATGCCTTTATAGGAAGGTATTTACCTATTGCCTTCCTAGAGGTTAGGTATCCCCTATAGCTTTAAGGATACGCTAGGTAAAATCCCTTAGTTATTAATAGGTTAGAGGAAGCCTAAGATCAGCCTGATTTTACACCTAGTTAGCTAGGCTAGCCTCCTAGGCATAAGATAGTCGCTAGAGGTCTTTAAAGGCAGCAGACCTCTATTATGTACTACTCTTCTGGTCTTAAAGTGTTAATTATAGTATACCCTATTACCTAGAGGCATTACAAAGAGATACACCCTTTGTAATAGCAGCAGGTGCCTAATTAATCTTAATTTTAGTATATTTAGTTATTAGGTAATAAAGAAGGTATCCTAAAAGAATGAAGTGATTTGGAGAAAAATGGAAAATGTTGTGGCACTTTGAAAATTGAGGCTATCTAGAAAGTGGGTGGCTGGGCGGCATTTTCTGGGTGGGCGGAATGCAGGGGTGGGCGGAAAGTGGGTAGTTTGACTTACCGCCCCACATGATAGTAGTTCTCAGGCTTATTCGACTAAAATTCGATTGCAGTGACACAGTTGCTACGACGCTTACTTGTCTCTTTTTCGAAATAGCTCAGAAACCGGACGTCTACAGTCGCCTAAGGGATGAAATCGACGACTTTTTCTTACAAAATGCGGAACCTGAACACTCAGCCCTGTCAAAGCTCCCTTACCTTCAGGCTTGCATCGACGAAACTTTGAGACTGCACCCCCCAGTGCCGTCGGGCGTTCAGCGAATGACACCGCCCGAAGGCATGGAAATTGACGGAACGTTTATCCCAGGCAGCACCATTATTCAGGTGCCAACATACACAATGTTTCGAGGCAAGTTTTGTCCGAACTGTGTTCGGTTATGGTTCGTGTTCTGACGGCTGCTTCGTGGTAAATCTAGATGAGCGCTTGTTTTCACAGGCAAATGAGTTCATTCCCGAGCGATGGACCGTTCGGCCCGAGATGGTTATGGACCCTACGACCTTTGTCCCTTTCAGCACAGGTAAGGAGGCACTGGGAACTCATACCCTCAATGCTCTACGGATCTATACGCGGCAAGAGCTGACGAGATGGCGTGCCATAATAGGTAAATATGCCTGCGTCGGGAAGCAGCTTGGCTTGATGGAGACCCGGTAGTGTGCCAGCCAAATTATTCACCGATACGATGTGAAATTTGCTCCGAAGCAAACAGTGCGAGCTTTCGTTGAAGGGCAGAAAGATGGGTTTACTCTATCGTTGCCAGTGTTGGAACTGATTTTCAACCAGAGGGAGGAGGGAAGCTGACTGCCTATGAAGCCGAGATAGGGAATCACAATATGGGGGATGACACCAAGAGCGCTAAGTTGGATTGTCTTGTTAATCCCTTTTTGATACATGAGCATGTTGCTAAGCTCAACTTGCGTTTGTTAATCCTGACAACAGGGGCTTAGCTCTTAGTGTAACGCTTTATTATCGAGCTAGATGAGGGAAAGGTTTCGTCTCTTTGCTAGACCCTTCCGGGGCAGAAACCGCAGAATAAGGAATCATACCAATTAACCTGTTAGAATTGGAGTTGCAACAGTAGCCATGCAGCGACGAAGACATTCCACGACGCTTCGAGCAAAAGCCTGCCTCTCTGCTGGCCCTGGTGTCGCAGCAAAATGTTTGATTCGTCAGCTAAGGGGGCAAGCTTCAATGCGGAGCTCTCAACGTCCGGAATCCATCAAGACGAAGGTTTACAGCCAATGTTACGTAGGAATCCCAGCTCAGAAGTCGGGCAAGCAATGCACCGCAAGGAAAAGCACCTCCCAAGAAAGTGCCAGGCCCAAGAAAACAGGGGTGTGGTGATTTCCCCACACTCTCAAGCTCTTTTCTCAACTCATCTTCTCCCCTCCTCCCATCTGTCCGTTGTGCAGCTCGGGGTTGGCGTTAGAGCTACTGAGTCGTCCAATCCCCCCCCTATTGGACAATTAAGCCTCACAAAAGAAGCTTTGCATTTGCCTTTTCAACTCCCTGTTTCCTCCCACCCTAGTTACTAGATTGCCAATGATGTCCGTTCGGTCCACTCATACACATACTGCCTACCGTACTTTCTTCGACACAGTCTGTGCGTGGTTTATCGGTTCATATCTTCCCCCCCGGCGTAATTACCCGGCTTCCCATCTCTACTTGCTAGCACCTGAGCAGAAAAAAGGAAGGGGGAAACCACCCAAAATAGTTGCATTGTTTCGCTCTACGCCCTCCGCCCTCATTTGTCTATTCTGTTCTTCTTTGGGTCACTTTGCAGTTATGGCATCCGATGATGGGCCAAATGATACCCCCACTCCACCATCAGGTGGTCCGCCAGCAAAGGTTCCCTCCGAAAAGGAGCTCGCTCGCAAGATCCGAAAACGCGAGCTTGACCGCCGAGCCCAAAGACAGGCCCGTGAACGGACGCGCAACCGCATCGCCGAGCTCGAGTCTCAAGTCAAGGAACTCAGGAAGGATGATTCGACGAGGTTATCGGCCTGCATGGAGCAGCTCGCCACTATCACCCACGAACGAGACAGCCTGGTCGACACAGTCAAGTCCATTGAGCAAATAATCCGCGGGCATGTGCTACCGAGCCGCCAAGCCCCAACAGCGACGCCACTCTCTCCGCCCGGACAGTCAGGACCCCTACCCAACCCTCGGGATGCGATAATGACAAGACCGTCGTCGCGCTCGTACTCGGCCCCAATCAGCTTCCTGCCCGGAACTCCCTCTAGTACCGACCCTCACGCGCTCCGCAGCAGCGGCTTTGGCAATGGACTCGGGGTTGTCGGCACAGTACCGAATGACTTCTCGGCGCCCGGCTGTCGCGCCTCCGCCTCCACGTCAGACAGTCAAGACTTTATCGAGGAGCTCGAGGAGGAGGACGAAGACGAAGACCACGACGACGACGCTGGTATTATCGTCCCACCACCCACATCACCATGCGACTGTGCCGTGGCCCCAACGCGGTCTGGGCCGGCTCCGCCCAAGTTCAATGTTTGGCGGGCTATCAACCGGGCCTTAACCATGAGGTGCCATGTCTCGAAGGCTGCGCAAGTGGCTGAAGATGCTGAAGATGAGCATGTGCCTGTTTGCGCGTTGATTGAGGGGTGGGATGTTGTTGCTAAGTCAAGGCCTTTGTCTAAGCTGTGGAGGAAGCTGCGCGCGGTTGACGAGGTGCTCTTTTTCAACTGTTCCCTGACAGACCGACTAGCAATTCTTCGAATCATGTATATGCAATTAAAATACCAATTTGATCCCACGCCGGAGCGGTACGTCAAGCTGCCACCGTGGTATCTAACAAGGTATACTAGGAGATTGTGTTGGCGCATCACGCGCGACGAAGAGAAACCTTTCTGCTAACACGATATAGGCCATCACAAACACTGCCTCACTCCCAAGCCATCGACTTCTTCGTTTGGTAAGCAACGAACGCTCGGTATCATTTGTGGCGGTCACGCTAACCTTTATTAGGCCAGGTCTCCGAGAGCGTTTCGTTTTTGGTCAACATGCTTATTGTAACAACCAATTCTGGCAGCTCTTTGCTTCAAGCATACACGTGCTGTGGCCCTTCGAGTTCCGCGACGCGTACAAGAAGTGCGTGGTCACGGGGCAGTACCAATTATCGCCCATGTTCGAGCAAAGAATTAGGGACCTCAACGTTTGGACCATGGGGAACGACCTTTTCGCGCGCTTTCCCGAACTCATTGCGGACATTCCGGTGACCCAGTCCATTGGTCAATCTTTGACGCCAGTTGCTACACCAATCATGCTGCAGCAGGCCTATCTATCTCAATTAAAGGAGCGTGAAGAACAGCTGATGCTAGAGCATGCTTCCGAGCAGGGATCAAGCCAAGACGTCATAGACTGCACACAGGCCATGCAGGTGTTTCCTCCAGACCTCTACAGAATGGCGCCTTCAGTTTTCATGGCCGAGTATACACCTCAGAGCTTCGATACGAACGGCGTCTCACACGATTCAACGCCCGAGTATTTCTGATTCGCAAGCGGACATTTGGGAACAACAAAGACCCGAATCCTCCTTTAGCGAAACATCAATCAGCTCAAGGTAGCATTTTAATGTACAATGGGCCTGCGAGTGGCGACCCACGCGAGCAATCAAGGGAGTTAGCATGGAGAAAATCTAGTTTGTTGGCAAAAGTACGAGTCGTAATAAGCTTTAGAGTGACGGCAGCAACATCTCCTTTCACAACCCTCGGCAGTCCAGTCGGCAAGTCGATCGAAAAACAGACTTTAAGATCATGCAGGAGCCTATGTATTGATTCGAATTTATATCCACCTAATCAATATTCCCTGAGTCGGAGCAAACACCTTCTTTAGGACAAATGTATCATATCGGCAAGCCACGGCAATCATGATCAATCCTTCAAGGTTGATTCTGATTCGATTTGCCCCCCAAGCGATGCAAAGGCTGGAGGGGAAATGTGGCAATAAGGTTGCTTCTTGGGTGCTTGCTACAGATGCTTTTCGCATTCTCGTTGATTGAAGAGAAGCCCCTTGGTAAGTATGTATCAAACTACGTGCTAGTTAGCAAGAGCCGTCGTTGCCCCGGTGGTTTACTTTCAAAAATCTAGATTATAGAAGCGCAGAGATTTACAACATGTATCCGCAACTCAACAATCAATAAATACAACAACACGAAAAGCCCAGTAGCAGTTTCTGTCCTTCTCAGTGATTAACAAGTATTTCCCTCCCAAGAGAACCTTTGATCACGTTTCATTGAGTATAGTTTCCAGACCATTACAAGATTTAAACCGTTTTCCTTCGTTGTACTTGAATTCAGGAGAAGAAAGTTACGGGCCTTTCCAGAAGCTGACCATCCAAGAAGATGTCAACCTTCTCGTTGTAGAAACATAATAAACCGGCTACGCCTGCACTCTCATGCGTCGGATTCCTGTAGTACCAGACAAGATCCTTGTGCTCTTCGCCGTTGACCACAATGTGGTAGTATTCTGCATCGCCTTTGTACGGGCATTTCGAGAGTAGTTCGCTCTTCCGAAGTACCGATTGATCAACTGAGGCCAATGGAAGGTAGTACCTCGTAGGCAAGCCTGTTTCTAGCAAATGGACGGCAAAGTTGGCCTTAGCAACGCTCCTTCCAGCAACTTTGACCTCGACGGGTCGCGAAGACGGAAGAATGTCGATGCGTTTGAAAGGGTCTTTTGGATGAACGTAAATGGGCGTTTCTTCTTCCAACCATTGATCTGGAAGTTATCAATATCTTGTTGATCACCAGTAGCTCATCAAACTGTCTCTTACCCATACTCCCAAATTCCAGTCTTACCAGGCCTTTCAGTGCCCCACTGATTTCCTCATCATCAGAGAATCGTAAGACCCGGTCGGTCACTAAATCCTTGGTACCGTTCTGCCCTGGAATAGTGATTTCGACCACATGGGCCGCAACGATTGACGAATCTCCAGCAGAATAAACGTCTTGCTTGTCTTTCCAACTGCAGTTTTGGAGCTCCGACATACGCACGTAATACTGCGGGTAGGCAACGTGCTCCCACACATGGATTGCGTTGGTTGTGTCAACAATGTACGCTTGATTTAGGATGACTCGAACGCGTCGGGGAGTGCTTTGGATTCTGTGAGGGCCATTAATGACCAGATGGCGAGCAAGCTCAGGGAGACTATATTTTCATCAGCTCATACATATATATCCACGCTGAAAAAAAGAGGAGCCTTCATTTGTTCTCAGAATTGAATTGAAGTTATGCTACAATCCTACACTTACTCAGCTCGAAACTGTCCAGGCTTGGACATCGTTAGGTTCTCGTTAATGGACAATGAGAAAGACTGGAGTACTTCAAAAATGATACTTGCAGAAGGGCAAAACAATTACTTGACTCTTCCGCCTCCAACATGATTCGGAGCAGCCTGATTACAATACGCTCAACCCCGCACCCTACGTGAGGGTGACGTTTAGTGTTTTACGTAATCTGCATCGAACTCGGAGCCATCATCGTTGTCTATCGTAGCATTGAGCCACAAATCAGTTATATGCGGTCTCTCATTATTTCTAAAGCTTATCTTCTTAAAAGAAAATGGAACTAATAGAGATTATTTAGGCCGTGTGAAGCTTGTATCTACTGGGATAATCAATATGAGCTCGTTTTTGGTTTCACAGCAGAATAAGCTACTATGGCCACATGCGACCATTGTTTGCTGGCCTGGATATATTTGATAGAGTCCATAGGGCCTTTGGCTTGCCGGCGGACCAGGAATTAAGCCTCTGGGATCAGGAATGCGGTTTCTCCGGTTCGAGGACATCAAGTTCTCTTTTTGAGTTATCGGTTGCGAGCTTAATCCAAAACGGAATAACTTTGCCACACGTCGTAACTCTTAAGTTTTCCGTACTTGGGATTCACGTGATGGGTGTTGGTTTCGGATCCATCTCCCCAGCCATCCATTACAACCGTTGGTTCGCATTGATACTTTGCTGGCAGAAAGACTGAGCATATGATGATCACTTCAAGTTCTGTCGCGATGCATTCATCGGCATCCCGCGGCCGCCCCACTCGTGGATACTCATTTCTTAGAGTCCGGCCACACGATCTCACAAGTAGATAGTCAAGCGCTTTTCCTATGCTCTTGCCTACCCGAAAAGTACCTCTACGACAAGTTCACTGTCCAGAATGAGGTTGGTCTTTCGAATGACCATATTATTGCAAGGCAAGATGGTGAAGGATACGTCATTTCGTCTTTCTCCTCCTAGCTCTAGCGAGCTAAATGTCGGCATTCCCGGTCTAGGATACTCCGGCCCACAGTCACCGAGTGACCCCACATCCCGCATCCCCCACAACTGCATCACGAATCGAGGTCGTTACGCGAAGACGATGTTGACGGCCTTCATCTTCACGCCGCCATGCTTAACCTCAAGTTCATCAACACCACAAACGTACCCGTGACAAAGCGCAAGATCGCGTTGCATGCATGCGAAACTTGCCGTAGGCGAAAGGTCGGTTCAATTTTCTACTTCATCCCGGCCAACGGTTGTTGTGCAGTGCCGCTTCATTGTCCGCGTTCCATACCAGCCCGGCCCTACAGGATGCTGCTGGAATTCCCCCCTAAATGGCCAATCAGAGGTCACCTACCGGTCAAGACGGTCCGGGCCTGTTCAGAATAATGAGGTTGACGGGCTTTACAGAAACGATGTGAACATCCGTTGGGGGAGGGGGAGTCTCCGCCTCCGCATACGGTTCACTGGCGGAAGAGGGGCCGTTTCACCACTCTTGGTTCTTCTACAACCGCAAGCGATTCCCCAAATGCAGCAACCCCCATAGACCCTTGCCTTCAGTACAGCCCAGAGGTCTTGAGGGCGTCATCAACCCTCCCGGAAGATGGAGACGACAGTGAGGTATCAGAGTCCATTCATGTTGCCGGCTCGGTGCCCCCGACAAGGAGCCCTCGGCGTCACGTTGCCAGTCCATCTCCACTTAGCGCCAGCCTATCAGCGCTTGCTGAGCATTCGACGCCTCGTAGTTCTAGCCCAGAACTCAGGATTGATGAGGAATCAATACAGAATAACGAGGATAGATTCGTCGGTGACCTGAATCCAGAAGGGACCTTCCTCGCAGATAGTCCCGGAACGCGCCCTGGGTACGCACAGTCCAATTCTGTGGGCGTATGGTATTCTCGCAGAAACAACAAAAACAACCCAACTACAGAACTCGCATCCGCGGTCTCCGTGGATTATGCAGAGCATCAGTTCCTAGCCGTACTGCCCAAGAAAGAACACTATGACCAGCTAAAAAGGATCTACCTCCGAGATGTCCATCGGATACTACCTATAATGAACGTCGACATCCTCGAAAAGCCAACATCCACGATATCACAAGTACTCTGCAAGCAGGCCGTTTGTCTGGCGGCAGGGTCCAACCCGAGCGCAAAGCCATATTTGACACTCGGTGAAGACTCGTCAACGGCCCTAGCCTATCCCGAATTTGCTCTCCGCCTTTCGTCAGCTATCCGGAAGGCACTGGGTTTCGGATTAGTCAAGGATCGCGTTCAGGCAGTTGCTATTCTCGTCATTCTCTCATTGTATACTCACTTCTCCCAAGACCGCCACCTTTCTGCCGAGCTAGCAGCACAAGCTGTGAGCAACGCTCAAACAGTCGGCCTTCATCTCCAAAATCCACCAGCGAGGTCCGAGGAGCCTGCATATCTAACTCGATTGTTTTGTTGCGTCTGGGCAATGGACCAGCTCAACGCTGCATTCCATGGCCGGCCTATAATGATGCATGAAAGAGACCTAGGGCGGGACATGGAGGCCTGCATCGCTGAGCAAGACAGCTGCTTCCGGCTGTTCCTCAAGATTGTCGTTCTGCTGGGCCGCATCATCGACCTATACCGGCCGGCAGCAAAGAATACTGGCTGTGTTGTTATGGAAGACCTTCCAAGCTTCGAAAGCCTCGTCGAAATGGCACAGGCCCTCGGTGTCGAATCCCGTCTTCTGGGTAAGGCTTTGACAATCATCTTCCACCTACAAACACCTGACAAGATGCTAATCGCGTCGCAGCCTCAATTGAGCTGCTCTATCACGGCATTGCGATTTTGTCCTGTCGTATCCCGGTTGGATCAACACGATCGGAGCACCTATCCTTAGCATACACTCGGCAGTCTCTTTCTGCCATTAAGATAACGGCGATTGTAAAGCAGTTTGGCAACTCGTTATCTCACATGACGTTCGTACCATACGCCGTATCGCTCTCTTTGCGAGTAGCCTACAGAGAGCTTCGGTCCAGCAAAGTCCCGATGTTGACCGCGAGGTCTCGCCGCCAATTCCAATCAACTTGCAAGGTACTCAAGGAGCTTGGTGGTATGTTCCGCTCCGCGCTCGTCATGGTGGACCTGGCCGAGCAGGTCATTCAAGAAATCGATCAAGTCTGCTCCAACGCGCTGAACGAGCAGAATGTAAACGACTCTGTTGGCACGCCGACTGCTACTCGCCAAGGGGATACAACCGCTGCAGAGGGTCCTGAGACGGCCAACGCTGCGGGGGTCGAGAACCTCCCACTTCATAGCGAATCAATTTCGGGGTTCGACGCTTCTCTTTTTGAGGGGCCTGCAGGGTTTGATGTTTTCGAGTTCTTTGATCCCGGTGACCTTAACGCCATTGATGCCATCTTAGGAGGTGATGCACCTCCTGGCTTTGGTCACTTTGGGTCTTTGATCTAACAAACTGCCGTTCTTCCCAGTGACACTTTTAGGTATGGTGCAATAATTGGTGGACAATACGATTCTGTCTCCTTACAAGAGGTCTAGGATAGTTCGCTCTATAGGAAGTAAACGATGGTAGGAATAGTTCAATCATGCGGTGCATCTGGTCTTTACTAAACCGACAATTCCGGATTTATATAAATACGAAGAAAGAGTTCTGAAGAATTAAAAGTGGGAAGCTTGATATTGTAAATGTCAGCAGATTCAAAGCGCGATTAGATGTGGTGGCTTTTTCGAACCTTGTTGAAGTTTCTGCAAGGTCGATCAAACCAAGAAACAACCCAAATACTAACAGATAGTATAGTTGCTTTTAGTATCAAAGGCTCGAATGAGTTGACAGAGAACTTTCTTCCTTCTTGGTAACCAGCAGAGGCTACAGAAGCAGATGAACAACTGGGAAATTAGTATTTCAAGCCTTTTATTATGGACTGACGCAGACATGGAACTATGGGCACGGCAACTACATGGGTTACGTAGCGAAGCTATTCATTGAGTGCACCAAATTCATGGTGAAGTCTCAATCAACTTGTAGATATTCTATCTCAATCATGCTGAGCATCTTGTCGGGTCAAAGCCGGCTACTCGAAAATCAGAGCCTCGATCAGTTGGTTCTATCAAACAGTTAGACTTCTGGCTGTCTTCCTAGTGAAATCGGAAGGCAGTCAGAAATGTAGATGCCGATATGAAGATGCCCGCCGCATTGTAAATCGACGTTCTTCCAAGTGCTATCTCTGAATCAAATCTGGCCCACGCTGTGCTGCGGTGCCTTGCCACCTTGATGTGTCGAATCATGTGCAAAGAACTGACTAATTGTTTCTATATTACTTGTTTGGTTTATTCTGGCGTTGCAGTTAATCAGATCATCTGGCCTTTGATACATCTGGCAGAACAGGAGTTTGCAGGACGGGTGGAGGGCTGTCTGGGGCCCACAGCCAAATCATCATGGATGCAGTACTCAACGCATCATCTTCACAACACTTCTTGAACCTACCGGCTGGATACAGTACAATTTTCAGTATCGTACACCATTAGATGGAGGCTTTCTGAAATACCAAGAGCAAACAGCCAATGTCATTGTTCAATAACCTCAACATTGGGATGAGCCGAAGGGTGGTGTTCCGAACGGTTTGGATGCTTGTTGCGGTACCAGTTCACTTGAAAACAAATAACTGTTCTGAGATATCGATAAATTGCCATCCCGAAACACCGATCTTTCTTTGTAAATGGTATCTGGGTCAACATCCTGCCCGCCCCATAGATTCGGTTAGCGCGTCAGGTGCTGGAGTCAGAGTGCTGGAGTCAGAGTGCTGGAGTCAGAGTGCCGAAGTCAACAATAGGGCCACTTAGCAGAGGTAAGTATAGTGTCACGATAGCATTCAAATGCAACATTGACTACTATGACCTAGATCAGAATTAAGTCCCTCATTCTAATTCATTAACAAACATATCAAGGGTATAATGGAGGCCCACCGCCCTTTCATAACGATGCCGCCTAGGGTTGCAACATCATCACAAGAGGCAAGCTTTGGTCGTACTTCAGATCTGGCGAAATATCGAATTTAATGTGCTTCTTTATGAGTGTATTGTAGACGATTTCAATACCATAACTCTTGACACAGGTTGGATTGGCAAGATGGATCAACAGTTGATGTTTGAGCTTGCTCTTCCGCCGATAAGACCTAGAGGCTTTTCAAGTTAAAAACATATAGTATTCATATTAATACATTCAATTATGCTCTGCATTCCGACGTCAACATTCTTGGAACACTGGGAGTTCAAGTTTGAAGCAACTTTGGATGTCCCGCCCAAACTGACCCTTACAAGCAATTTATATCGCGCACCATTTGCAGCCAAAGAGCTGGTTCGAACCAATGACAGAACACGCTTAGTCGCTTATGAGCCCAAAAACCTTTCAAGGAGTCTCTTTGTCTATATCATATCTTCTTAAAAGAGCTAATAAAACCCAAAATGTTTCGAGGAGACTGGTTGCGGTCATGTAGTCCTTCTCATTATAATCGCCTAACCATACGAGCTATTTCGGCCCGAGTATGAACCCAAGGGAGTTTTATCTAAAACGCCAAACAATACAATGGGTCCCATCTTGAGCCATCATGGCAGTTTCTTGGATTTACGGTCCCATCTCTCCGCGGCCATAGTTGGAACAACTCGAACGGGCGATAAGCCATACCTGAATGAATGCAACCTTGTTTCACGGGTGTTCAATATCTGAGGTTCATTTGGCTGTGAATCCAGACCAGCTCCTCTACTCCAAGCCCTTCAGCTTCCATACCATCTGTTGACCCCTGAGTGAGTCATACTCTAGTAAGGTGCTATTCGTTTCCTTTGAATATGTAGTCACAACCGATGCAATCAAGATGGTATATATTGCCTCTTGTATATAACGCTCCCATTCTCTTGTATGGATCAACGAGCCGTCTATTCAATGATATCCTGCCGTTGAAGTCTGCAATAATTTTACGTACAAGCTTTGCCGGAGACTAGCTACTGTAGTATAAAATCCACCAGCGGCTTCTGTCCTATACAGGAACGTCCTGGCGTTAAACACAACAACAGCAATATAAAATCCACCGTGTCCGGTCCGGTTCTCAGCGTACAATCTCACTTGTTGTGTTTGTTTTACGAGTTGGACTTGGAGGCACATCAGCGTTCATAATGCGAACCTCTACGCCGATACTGCTCAGCGTTGCGGGGAGATAGCTCTTCCATAGCTCTTCCAGACGGAACCCCTCCCTCAAACTTAGGTGGCCCTGTTTCCTCCTATCGATACACCAACCATCAAGCCCGGCAGGCGGGAGGTAAGTTCTCTTTCCCATCCCACAAACTTACGCCATCGCTGCTCAGAATCGCCTGGTTCAATCATATAGAACTGGATTCTCATAACAGTTTGGCCTGCAATCAAAGTCAGTCAAAGTTGGCATGCACTGCTGCCGTCTGTACGGAGTCGTATGTATGAGTGCCCTTAGCGACCTATTCTTAGGCTTTTCCACACCAATCTTGAGTGAACAGATCGGAGATCTCGATTGAGGGCATCTACTCCGCGTGACCAGACCCTTTACCGATGGAGCAAAACCCTCCATCGGAACTTACACTGATGGTTCTCTTGCACCTGGCCGACATCCTAGCTAGCAAGGTCGTTAACGTTAACACCACCTCGGCGGCGCAACCACCACTTTTGGCCCATCCACCAAATGTCAAATCTTCGATGTCGGCTCCTGCAGGGACTCGGATGTGATTGGTCTCCGCGCAACCCTTACCAGCCTGCCTCTGATCTACCTACGGCAATACCCCACCGTTTGAGATCCGGAACTTCGATCAAGCTATCATCGCAGCTCCCAAGGCTTGCTATAAGGACGTCATCGTCGGATCCATCATTCCCGACAACCCAATTCCGGGTGGTCCACCCATCCCCGACAAGCCGGTTCCGGGTAGAGCCATTGTCACCCAATCTGCGGTCCCCGGAGGTCCGCTCAAGCCGGTTGACTAAGGTGGCAGCCTGGTTGATAACATGATACATGGGTTGAGACAGGCAATATGGTTGAGATAGAGTTGCAATTGAAAGAAGGGTATGGGATAGCATTTGGCTGGACCGAATCCGAGAAAGACCGCAGGGCCCGAGAAAAGGGGCCACTTTCGCGAATGTCGATGGAGAGTGCCATGATGCGAATGATTGACTTTACCATGTTATATTTTCAGTGATGATGCCCTTTCTCCCATTTAAAACACGACAGGCTTGATTGACTTAAGCTCATAGTTCAAGTATCCTTATGGGGAGTGTTTCAAGTCTGCTGAAAGATGGCATCAAAGCGAACAGCCTTACCATCTATAGTCGAGAAAAGCAGCAAAAAGCGACATCCGAAATCGCGTTCGCCAAGTTCTGACGATTCCGAAATTCGTCCGTGACAAGAGACTGAAAAATGTGTCGGCAAAAGTTGATGACTGCAAAGCTACAGGCTCCCTAACTTCGTCCGTTCGGCTTCGTCCAGAAAGAAGGTTCTCCCTCATCCCAAGAGCACTCAGCGATAAGAATGGTAGGAGATTCGTCCTAAGCTCGTCAAAGGAGTCGCACACGAGTATCAGCTTTGGTCCTCGTCGTCGCAGAAACGCCGAAGTACCCGAGAATTTTAGGGCAAGGCTATCTTAATTATCAAATCGCCAATCCAAGACTCATTGGTGGGTGTTTCGACTTTTTCTCACTCTCCGTCCCGCAACTCAAAAGTTGCCCTTTGTTCCGCATCATTGGCTGGCGAGTCCGATTCTGGTAGCTACGCATGATGAATCAAAAAAAGGCCCAGACACGCTGTCACCGTCTCACTCGCCCAAATTCGTTGTAGGGCAAAGCTCCTCAACCCAATCTTCGGAGTTGCCTTTTTCCTGAGTTCACCTCTTCTGGACCAACTGAAGTCGATGGAATTGCGCGAACCTGGCCCTTGCCGTCGTCCGAGGTGACCCCAGGATGGAGAATAAAGAAGCTCAAACTATGTTCGCTGGCGCCTAGCAAGCACCATCCTCGCTGGCCGGGTTTCACAAGAGAGCCCCGGCCGAACTCCGGACATGAAGCCGATGGGCACGGAGCAGCCTCGGTGGCCGGAGCAGCCTTCACGCGCGGTATGGAGACCCCTCGATGCCGCCCAGAACCTTACGGCTTGCCGTCCCCGTCCGTTTGTGAAAGTCCGACTAGGTATGGCGCGGGGGCGCAGGACAGGGTAGGAATTATTTCCCTCCCTGGCACCATAGCATTGCCGAAAACGATATTTCCTGCCCCCTTCCCTTGCCCCAAACCAGAACCAAAAAACCTAACTCTCGAGGTCGCGGCCACCACCATGCTGACAAGGTCGCCCGCAGCCACGGCTTGTCCCTGCAAGCGGACGAAGCGGAAAAGGTCACGCAGAGCTCGAGCCTATACGGGACAGGCGCCCTAGAGCGTATTCGGCCATGAC